CTCTGTTCTGATTAGCTGCCCTGTATTGTGTTTCATTCAGAAAGCAGTTCAGGCTGAAACACTCATTAATACTTCAGTGTGAGTAGCCGGGACTACACTGCTGTAGGATGAATATGCGGATATATGCATTTACATACTACATCAAACTCTTATTTTTAAAAAATGTGAGAATTCTGTTTTGCATTTCCTTTTAAAAAAAAATGCATTTCAAAATGAGCATCAGGATGTATAAAATTCACTCCACGCAGTCAATGGAAGGAAGCTAAGCTGTAAAATGGCCTGTTTTAAAAGGAATTTCCCTGATTTTTTTTTACATTTTTTGCCAGTTTCAGTCAGTGTAAACAGTCATTCAGAGTGGTTTGATGTGAAATGGTGCAGTGCAGTGGCTCAGATTTACAGTGGTGGTGATAGGAACTGGGGGTCACCATGTCTACAACACAAATATAGCCATTTCATTTACTATCCAAAACCACCAGTGGACATGCACGTGTTCTGAGTTTGTTTATGTAATGTTGATGATGGTAAAATAGTGGTAAATCTGAACAAATTAAGTTTTATTTGGGGACTATTTTACAGTGCCCTGCATGTATCTCTCTGCCATGAATATGTTTTATGAAAATAAGTTTTAGTCAAAAATCTTATCAGAGCAATGCATCAGACAGCGTAGTTGTACCCATTTCATGTCATAACTTTCAAGCATTAACAGGCCCATATCATGGACAACTGAAGAAAATCTTTCCTCATCTCTTGAAATAAGAGACTGATGTAGTATGTAAACACTGTTAAAGTTTCAAAAGACACCTTTATATAAACGTACCCCGTATGGACAAAAGTATTGGGACACATTACACCTACAGGAGCTTTTATGACATCCCATTCTAAATCCATAGGCATTAATATGGAATTGCAGCTATAACAGCTTCCACTGTTCTGGGAAGCTTTGTACAAGATTTTGGAGTGTGTCTGTGGGAGTTTTCACCCATTCATCCAGAAGAGCATTTGTGAGGTCAGACACTGATGTTGGACGAGAGGGTCTGGCTCCCAATCTCTGTTCTAGTTCATCCCAAAGGTGTTTGATGGGGTTGAGGTCAGGGCTCTGTGTGGGCCAGTCCAGTTCTTCCACACCAAACTCACCCAGCCATGCCTTTGTGGACCTTGCTTTGGGCACTGGGGCTCAGTCATGCTGGAACAGAAAAGGTTTTTCCCCAAACTGTTCCCACAAAGTTGGAAGCATACAATTGTCTAAAGTGTCTTGGTCTGCTGAAGCAATAAGATTACTGTTCACTGGAACTAAGGGTTCTAGGCCAACCCCTGAAAAACAACCCCATAGCATCATCCCTCCTCCACCAATTTTACAATTGGCACAATGCAGTCAGGCAGGTAATGTTCTCCTGGCATTCTCCTGGAGTTCAGTGGCGGCGTGACTTACACCACCGCATTGGCATTGTGCTTGGTGATGTAAGGCTTGCATGCCGCTGCTCGGCCTTGGAAATTCATGCCATGAAGCTCCTGAAATGCAGTTTTTGTGCTGATGTTGATGCCAGAGGAAGTTTAGAACTTCTTAACTTAATAAGTTTGCACTCATTGAGTCAGCATATTGTTGGCGAGTTTTATGCCAAATTATGCCGAAATGTTGAGAAATTGGTGGTTTGCCTCCTTTAAATTTAATCATTGTGATGTCACACTTATATATACCAGTCTAAACTTCAGATATCTGGTTCGTATCACCACAGTACGTTTTTCTAGAATGAAGCATATTACATCAGATCTCTCTGAGTGACTGCAATTATGCAGAGATGTTGAGAAATTAAGGAATATTCCCCTTTAAAGTCAGTGGTTGTGATGTCACACCATTGACACACATCAGTCTTAAAGACACAGTAACAAAAACAGCCTGTTTACAGATGGATCAGTCAGAAAATTGCCATGTGAAAATGAGTTACAGCTCATTTTGGTACAAAAATACACAAATATATGGGATTTTAAAATACAGAAAAAGTAAAATGTCTTGAAAAATGTGGGATATGGGCCCTTTAAGGTTCTCTGTCTAGAATGCCACGAGTTATTGCGCTCATGGGTATCTTCCTGACCTTATCAGAATATTAAAGTGCTTGCCGGAATGTCCCATAGGTCTTAGATGATTTGATTTCCAGCGCGTTCACGCGCAGCAATTCATTAATTAAATCATGTCGCAGGCCTCGGATCAAAACCTTCCATCAAAAACGATCTTGTGATCACTCAGCTTAGCTCTGGCCTCTATTGATTGGACGTCTTTTAAGCTCCAAAGTTCATCCTCAGAGACGTAATGTACTGCCTGAACATCCATTTTATAACAGATCTTGAGCCGTCTCTCTCTCTCTCTCTCTCTCTCTCTCTCTCTCTCTCTCTCTCTCTCTCCATGGCAACCTATTGGACTTTCGCTAAGGGATTTTGACGAACTAGATTACCTGGCGGTTCAGCTCAGGTGAGGGATTAGGTGTGGAGTGTCTCAAAAAACCTCCCGTGGCCTGTGTAACTAAAAGCTCAATCAATAGTGAGGTTATGAGATATTCCAGCAAAAGTTACTGGAGACGTGCTTCTCCTGGGAGGAACACCCTCCAGAGGTGCCGTGAAAGACCAGAAAAAAGTAGATACAACCTTCTGATGATGTATTTTGAAGGTGGGAGGTGGTTGTGTTCAAACTTGTGTTTAACATATGAGTCATTCTCTATTTGGAGTAGAAATTCTGGTGGATACATTTTTTAAAAAATCAATTTCTTTCATCCCGAAAATGAAATAATCTTAATATGTCCCATCATATATGCAAAAAGGAGATCTTAATTCCAAACATATTTTACAGTCACTGGTGTTGTGACGATGTGGTGTAACACCAGTGATTGTGACTCCAGTGACATTCTGGTTAAAAGTGAGGATTTTGTAAATTGGCTTGTTGGTCAGGTGACCTTGTGCAACTATTTAAAATCAGTAATAAAATGATATTTGACATTATTTTGACAAATTTCCAATTACCCAGCAATTAAAGCACATAACACTGGTGACACATAGAAGTTCTGTGCTGCCTGATAAACAAAAGTATTAATAAATTAATGAAATATATGGTGAACCGGTGTGGATTTGCCTTCTCATGCCTTGAGATGCTTCCTCTCTGATGAGCCTCGACCCAAAGAAGCAGTTTAATAGAGCTGAAAATACTGTGTTAAAATGTAAAATAAGAGTCCTGATAACACCAGTGACCAAAATCTCTGTGACAAATAATATTTTTGAAGTAAAATATATATTTTTTAAATGTAGTTTAACGTTAATGATATAAAAAAGTAAATATGAATGTTTTATACAAATTCCTGAGTTAAACCTCTTAACCTCCTTGGTTAAAAATATTGTTTTATATTAAAAATGGTTTCTCAAATGTGAAAAAAAATTGTTTTTTATGTCGAGCTGTTTTACAGATGCAGAGCGACTTTGAAACAGGATTAAAAAAGAAAAATCAGAATCATAAGGGAAAAGTGTTATTTCATCTTAGGTCAACTGTGTAAATGTACATACTGACTTTTGGAGCTGTGGATAATATTTTAAGCATCTTTTTAAGCCCTGCAACCTTTGTGACATGGTTTCCCCTCTAAATGAAGGATGACCCAAACCCACTTTCCCCCTTCAAATAAAATTACATCTAACCGATGAGACTGAGGGATGCAGCGCTGCGCTACAGAATACTGCGAAACACAACAAATAACGCATTAAACTCTGAACTAGAATGTTCCTGTAATAACAAGCACATTTCTAACTGATGGTTCCAGACTGAGATTGCTCCCTATTATTTGCCTTTGACTTTTTTAACTACATTCACACCAAATATGAAAACCTTTGGGATATGAGCTTAAAGGAAACACTAAAATAGTATGGCAAACATTGAATGGAAGCTACACAGCTGCACAGCCTGATTCACATAATACTGAAGCAAAAGTTTGAGCACCCCCTGGTAAAATGACATGCTTTGTTGTGTTTCTCAATAAATGAACGCATACTCTACAGGGAACACACTTAAATGTGGCATTTATCTGCACTTCTTAGTGCACGATTTGTGTTTATTTGCTGAGTTTAACAAATTGGGAAAAAAAAAAATATAAAAAAAACTTTTGTACAGGCCACGTTTTATGTTTTAATTTTTTGTCTAATGTTTAATTTATCAAATCAATCAGAATGCAGAATGTGCCAATAAATGAAGTGTGTTCCCTGCAGAGCAGGTGTTCACTTAGAACATCAACAAAACATGGAATTTGACCCAGGGAGTGTTCCCATAGTTGCACCCATCTGCAGACATTTCTGTATGGAGGAAGTGCTAGAGCTTGAAATATCTGTCTAAACCCGACAAAACCCAGCTTGTTGGATTTGTTTTATGTTTGGACATAATTTCCCACGTATTTGTTAAGCTTATATTGGGTTTCGATTTTATGTCTGACTTTGTCATAGTCGGTTTCTCACGTTACAGAGTAGACCATTTTATTGGTTGCAGCAGAAGTTGTCATAGTAGGGAAAACATTACAGTAGTGATTGCATTTTCAAATGCAATGCATAAGTGTGAAAAGAGGCTGTTTGGCCTGCATTTACCCCACGCGTGGACACACTGTAGTCATGTCATGGCAGGAATGTCACCTGAGGTCAGCATAAAACCATTATGTAGTTTATCCAAGCTAAAACTTTTGGGATTATGTTAGAAGGCAGTGATTGGTAAACATGTTTGTTAAAGTAGAATTTAAACCTCATTTTTGGACGGCTGCACTTTGTTTATCTAACTAAATCCCTTGACATTGTCAAGATAACACAGTAGGCACTGTCATTAGGTGTGTCAAGCTTTATTTGGTCTCCGGTTGGTGGAGGTTGGGTTTGGGTCGAGTTTGGACTGGATTTTGTTGGGTTGTAGGTCGGGGTGGGTTGGACAGAATGTTCTCATGTTGTATTTAAGTTTGGACTGAAATTTCTTACTGTTTGTGCTCCCTCCACAGCGGTGCCCCTGCCCCCTCATCAGCGGCTGACCGTGAAAGACCTATTCGTGGATGGCAAGCCCAACACGGAGCTGCTAAAGAGCCACTTGGTGAAAGAGGGCCGTGTGGAGGAGGACGTTGCTCTTCGCATCATCAACGAGGGCGCCAACATCCTGCGGCAGGAGAAATGCATGCTGGAAGTGGAGGCGCCCATCACAGGTGAGGGTGCTGACCGTTGGATGGGCTAGGGCTGTTCCTTTTAAGTCGACTAATTGACTGATTAGTCAACGTATTCATAGGTGACAAATCCCTTTCATTTTATTTCTTTGTTTATGTGTTTATGAATTTATTTTTTTATGGTACAACTCAGCAAACCTTTTTGAATTTCTTGTTCCACCTTAAATGGTGCCGCAGTTACATTGGGGTTCCTGTATCCTTTCACCATTTAAAGTGAAATGGAAAATTCGAATAAAAGCTGGCAATTAGGAAGGCAGTTTAGGCCTTACTTTAGTTTGAAAACAGTGCCTCCACATAATTAGCAGCTTAATATTACTACTTACCCCTGATAAGCTGATAGGCTGTCAGAATATCTTATTCTTTTAGTCCAACTATCTTACCTGCAGTTTTAATACAAGACTGAAGTTGGCTTCCTATTCGCCAACTCCTTGTTTGAATTTTCGCGTTCCACCTTAAATGGTGCAGCAGTTACGTTATGGTGCCTGAGGTGTTACAATAAGTGCTGTACCAGTTAAGGTGGAGCGGGAAAATTAGAAAAAGAAGCTGGTGAAAAGAAGCCGACTTCAGCTTCATAGTTTTAATGCTGGTAGGCTTTTTTGATTAAGGTGATTTAAGCCATTAAAATATTCTACCTGGAGAGTCCACTGCATCTTTCACAATTTATATTAGAAAAAGCTGAGATGTACAAAGGCATGGGAAACAATACAGAAAGCTTAAAAAACCTAAACCTAAACATCAAAACCAAAAACATACTTCCACGGCAGCCATGAAAAATGTTCATGTCCATTCATAGCTCACCACTGATGCTCTGACATAACGTTAGATGTTTTTTACAAAGCCTATTTCAGCTTTTGTATTAAAAGAGCATTGTAAATACCAAATTTGAAAGCCAAAGTTAAACATTCACAGTTACATCTTTTAACCATGACTGGACGCTAATAACAAACTGAAGGCTTGAGGGGTAGCAGCAGTTGCCATGCAGTGATTGGAGGTTTGGGAAAAGAAGGCAGAGTTTGGCGAAGACCATATAATTTGATTGGCTGTAATACAGTGACAGAAGATTTATCTGTCTTAATAAATTTGGCTCATTAAAATATTCTTTCCCCATTTGATTTGGTATGACTGTGATCAATCTGGAAAGCCCAGGCAGTGGAGGAGGAATAAAAAAAATTCATCTTTAAATTAAGAACACCATGTACACTATATGGCCAAAAGTGGACATACCTCATAAGTGTTGAGTTCAGGTGTTTCAGCCACACCCATTGCTAACAGGTGTAAAATCAAGGCAAATAGCCATGAATTCTCCATAGACAAACACTGGCAGTAGAATGGGTTGTACTAAAGAGCTCACTGACTTTTAACGTGGCACTGACATAGTTTGAGGAATTTCTGCCCTGCTAGATCTGCCCCGGTCGACTGTAGGTGCTATTATTATTAACAGAAGTGTGTAGGACCAACAAGAGCTCAGCTGCGAAGTGGTAGACCACGGAAACTCACTAAGCGGCACTGAAGTGCTGAAGCGTGTAGTGCGTAAAGATCACCTATCCTCTGTTGTATCACCCACTATAAAGTTCCAAATTACCTCTGGAAGCAACATCAAGACAATAACTGTGCGTCAGGAGCTTCATGTAATGAGTTTCCATGGCTGAGTAGCTGCACACAAGCTAAGATCACTATGCACAATGCCAGGTGTCAGCTGGAGTGGTGTAAAGCACGCGCCACTGGACACTGGAGCAGTGGAAACGTTCTCTGGAGTGATCTTCAGAATCACGCTTCTCTATCTGGCAGTCTGATGTACGAATATGGATTTGGTGGATGTCTGGAGAACGCTACCTACTGGAATCTGTAGTGCCAACAGTAAAGTTTGGTGGAGGAGGGATAATGGGATAGCTCCAATGGCTTGCACAGAACCCTGACTGAACACCTTTGTGAATTCCAAGCCAAAATTCGAGCCAAGCTCATCCAACATCAGTGCCTGATCTCACAAATGCTCTTTTGACTGAATTGGCACAATTTCCCACAGACACAAAAGAGTGTAGGCTGTTGTAGGGGGGGCCAACTCCATATTATGATTTTGGAATGGGATTTTTAGCAAGCTCATATAGGTGTGATGGTAAGGTGTACACATACTTTTGGCCATATAGTGTTTCTGTTTTACGTATTTCTAATTGAGTTGAAGTTCAGAAGTTTCTATTAAGAAGCTAATAAAGAGATCCGAATGGCAGCAGACACAATATAGGAAAAAGAATATATGGAAATGATCATTTTAATTTGAGGGCATCAGCATCTTCCATAGAACTGATTTATGATGTTTCTAACTCATTCTTTGCCTTATAGTTACGTTGTTCAGTGCACGTATTATGAAGTCCCTATGTAGGTAGCCTTCAAATAAAGTGTTATCGAACAGTCTTTCCTGAAAGTAGCTGATGCGTAGATCACAGGATCTTCACAAGGTCAATTTGCATGATCCACAAAAGCATGATCTTCTAATCTGAGAAACTAGCTTGCACACTAATGATACATTGGCCCCTTTTTTGAAGAAATTTAAATTGGCTGTTACCTCGCAACAAGGATGTGGCCAAGTGAGTGGGCTAGAATCCATGTGAGAAGCATGGTGGGCTACGAGAAACAAATGTATTAGTTGAGATGGAAGGAATGTTGGATTGACAGTTGGCAGAATTTGTCATTTCAAGAAGGTGCCGCTGTAAGAGAGCTTTATGCTCAAATTATATGATTTCATGTAATTTGATAAAGAACTGCTTTTCACTGAAGTTACTCATTTAAGATAGAAAAGATGGGGTAGCGTGTGGTGTGACACATATACGAGGCATAACGGTTCTGTCCTCTTTAGAAGAACCATTGAATAATGTAATGGGTCCATTTTTTAAATCTTCGCCAGCAGCGCTTTGAGAAACAAAGATATGTATTGCACAACTGATCCATCAGTGCTTCGCCCACAAATGTAGGCTTTCGTAGCAACTGTTGCCAGGTAGGGCAAGCTTAACAAAATGTAGGCGAATATCAAATTCAACTTATTGAGACACTGTAGCAATATGGGATTAAATTTGTGCTGTAATGCTTTTTTACCCTGAAATGTGTGTGAGTGTATATATGATGATGGTCACACTTTATTTGGATGGTCCTCTATAGATGAACTACAGATGCTTTAATCATTAACAAACTTTCTGGTGATTATCAACAACATTATGGTTTGGGGTTAGGTTTAGGAGTAGGTGTAGGTTTTGCCTTGAGGTTAGGGTTAGGTTTAGGATTAGGGATAGATTTAATAGAATCCTCCACACTCAACTTCGAGTTCAGTTGCGTTTAATATTGTATTATAATATTAAATATTTAGTTGAATGCTACTCAAAAATATACTGAGCATCTACAAAGCATTTACAATGGACCGTCCAAATAGTGTTACCTAATGATTAATAGGTATATATAGAATATAATAATATAAATGAATGGAAAACAAAAAACAAAAAAAAACTGTATATCTAAATGTGTATATACACACACTCACACATATATAGTGGGGTACAAAAGTCTGAGACCACATAAAAAATCTGGATTTTTTAAGTTAATTTTGAAAATAAAAATATAGAGTATAAGCTATCAAATTCAAAATGGACACATATTTAAAAATAATTCTGTTTTTTAGGACATTTAGGACAGCGTCCCAACTTTTTTATATGTATATTTTTTTTATATATATTTTTTATACGTATTAATATATATATATATATATGTAGTATGTATATGTGTGTGTACTATGTCAGTAAAAGCAGTGCCAACTAAGTAAACTACGTGACATCAACCCACCAATTCACGAGACAACAGTTTCCATCATTTCCCAAATTGGACAAACTCAGGTTGGAATATGCGGATTCGTTTTAACACATTGAAAAAATGGTCACCAAATACTTTAACATTTGTCTAGCAAAACCTTTTTTAAAGTCTCTGTGCATTTAACGTATCTACAAGCTGTCTAACCTGAAGCCTTTTCCTGCTCCCTGTTGATATGTATCATGATACCGATGGACCTACACGTTTGACTGTGTCTGTCCTGCTTGCCCCCTCTCCAGCAGAGCTCACCTCAGAGCCGGCCTGTGTGCAGCCTCTTACTGCCGCGCACCAGAATGTGAGAGGGTTCAGCCTTAATGCATGTTCGCCTTCGCTACCTTTGTTGCTAAGTGACGGCTGCCTTGTCACCACAGCCCTGATGTAAGGCTGTGCGGAGGTGTAAGTCTTCAGCAAGCTCATGGCTGATGCTTTTCTATAGACACTTGTGGTTAATTCATACCTGTATGCTCTCCTCTTCACTGACATCTCTCACTGTGGGCTTTTCTCTCCCTCCCACTGATAGGAGCTAAGAACAGTCATCAGCTCTGGTTGTACGCTGTGAAAATGACACATTACAAAATGACTTAAAGAATCAAATGCATTCGTTTCTCCAGAGATTAAACCCTTTACCTGGATTTTTGAATAATACGGATTTTGCGTTGTGCTACTTTCTTTATTATCAGGGTTGTCAGTATTATTACAGTGTTTTTATATTGCAATTTAATATTGAAAACCACAAATGAAAGCAGCATTATGCACTTTTTGTTCGTATAAACAAGAAAATATAGCCTTATGTAAACATATGAAAAGCGGAAAAGAATGGGAAACTCTGAACAAGAAGCTAGTAAAGAAGAAGATTGCTTCAGCTTCAAAGTTTTAATGCTGATAGGTTTTATTTCATTAAGGTGTTTTAAGCTATGGAAATATCCTGCCTGGAGTTTTATGAACGGAGCCATCTAGAAATATGTGCTACGGTAGGACATTTCGACAAGGTAGCACAATTCATCACATCATATTCTCTATGAAGTAGTGGGTGGAGATCATGAGAATGAATCATGAGATTTTAAGTGAAATGTTCTGCAGATGGGGTAACCATCTTTTGTTTGGGTAATATCGAATGACTAATAAGTAGGGTTGGGTATCACCGGTCATTTCTTTTTAGAAAGTGGTTTCGTTCTACTAGAACCAAATTATTTTGCGCATTCTGATTCTTAATTTCAGTTCTCTGCACATGTTTAGCTTTGAACTGTATATGGAAAAAAACAAAGCTCCATGGTTTAGCTAGCTAGCTTAAAACATTTTGTTAACTAAATAAATAGAATATCAAAACTGTATCTAATAAAATGTGTAACCTTTAGTTTCTTGTCGAAGACTTCTTCAGCCAAAGTAATGAAAGACAAGGATATATAAATAACTGTGCAATGTTTGGGGGGATTCTTGCATGTACAGCCTGTTTCAGATCCCCCCACAGCAATTCACCAGGATTCATTTCTCCATTTCTTCCTTTTGAGCCATTCCTTAGAAGATTTACCTCTATGTTTGGCGTCATTATCCTTTTGGAAGGTCCATGTCTTCAGCTTAAACTTTCTGACAGATGAGCTCACATTCTTCTCAAGCACTCTCTGGTATGAAAGAGAATTCATAGCCAATTCTGTGAAGGCAAGTTGGCCAGGCCCTGAGGCAGCAACGCAGCGTCAAACAATAACATTTCCACCACTATGCTGTGCATTTGGTATGAGGTTCCTCCTGATTAAACACAGTCTTTGGTTTTCACTAAACATGGCTTCTGGTGCTCTGGCAAAACAACTCTGTCTTTCGCTCATCTGTCAATAACACGTTGCTTCTTCCTCGTGCACCTTCTATGTCGGTCAAAATTAGTTGTAGATGCATGCACTTTGCCGTCAAACATGGCAAGAGCTACCTGCACACCCTGTGTTGAAATGTCAGGGTTCTTAAAGATTTCTTTTAGACTTCTTTTAGTATTTTATGATCTGCTCTAATGTTAGATTTGCTGGGCTGGCCTGGCTGGGACATGTTAACAGTTTTAAATCTTCTCCACTTGTAGATGATCTCATGGACAGCGGAATGATTGACTTCCAGTATTTTGGAAAGCTTCTAAAACACCTTCCCACACTCATAGGCATCAACAGCCTTCGTTCTGATAGCATCAAAGGCTCTTTTGATCTAGGTGTGATGATAGTACACACTCCAGTAACAATGCGCAAACAAGACCAGATATCCAAGGTTTAAATAAGACAGATTCCTCCAAGATCATTAGCACCTGATCGAGTGCACCTTATTTCAATTTGGCTTATTGAAACATGTGTGTGTGTGTGTATATATATATATATATATATATATATATATATATATATATATATATATATATATATATACACATACATGTATATGCATATTTGAGTCATTCCACTGAATCTTCTGTTTTCTTTGATTCGTTGTAGTATGCGGTGACGTCCACGGGCAGTTCTTTGACCTCATGAAGCTTTTCGAGGTGGGAGGATCACCTGATAATACGCGATACCTGTTCCTGGGAGACTACGTAGACAGAGGTTACTTCAGTATTGAGGTGGGTCTCTTGTTTCAGTTGAATAGTGTGATGTAAAATGCTAAAGTGAGAGCTGGCAGTTATTTCTTTGCATCCTGCTAATGGAGATTGCTACCTTTCATTCATTTATTCATATTAGCATTGATTGTTCAATCTTTAACCAGGTCCATACAAGGGAAGGATCAGCATTTCTCTGGAGAACTCTTAGCAGTCATGTTGTGTTACTGAAACATGTAAGGATATGTGCTCTTACTTTTCGCGATGCTCTCAAGCCTTGAAGTTACCAACATACCAACAACACCTTGGCTACTAAATACTGAGCCAAAATTGTGTTTTTTTCAAAGGAAGCAAATAAAACTCTAACATGCATAGACTTCAACCAGACACATACCATAAATGGATAAACTACCCCAAAAATCATCAATGATGTTTTAACTAAAATTGGATAGGATGTTAGTTTGGATGACAAACTGAAAACAGTAGAGTGTAGCTACACCAATGAGCCAAAACATCATAACCTCCTGCCTAATATGCTGATGGTCCGCCAAGCACCACCAAAACAGCACTGACCTGCCAAGGCATGGACTCTACAAGACCTCTGAAGGTGTCCTATGGGTATCTGGCACTAAGATGTTAGCAGCAGATCCTTTAAGCCTGTGAGTTGTGAATTGTCAGGGATCATACTTGTGGTTCCTGCACATCCTACAGATGCTCTATCAGACTGAGTTCTGGGCAGTTTTGAGGCCAGGGCCTGAACAATGTGTGCAGTGTGGAAGGATGCATTATCCTGCTGATAAAGGCCACTGCCTCTAGGGAAGATCTTCTCCATGAAGGGGTGTACCTGGTCCACAGCGATGTTTAGGTAGGTGGCATGTGCCAAATTGACATCCACATGAATGCCCAGACCCAGAGTTTTCCAGCAGAAGATTGCCCAGAGCATCACACTTCCTTCACCGGATTGTCTTCTTACTACAGTGCATCCCGGTGCCATCACTTCCCCAGGTAAATGAAACACACGTACCCGGCCGTCCTCTTGATGTAAAAGAATGGGACTACTCAGACCAGACAACCTTCTTCCATCGCTCGAAGGTCCAGTTCCAACACACATTGTTGCCACTTTCAGTGGTGGACAGGGGTTAGCATTGGCACTCGGACCACTCTGTGGGTACGTGGCCCCGTACACAGCAGGGTGAAATACACTGTGTGTTATTCCTCCTGTAATCATCATTCCTCTTGTAAACATCTTTAAAAATTTCTAGCCCTTCTGTTGGTTCTGACTAGATGGGACCTTTGTTGCCCTGTCACTGGTTCATGGTTTGTCCCTCCTCGGACAGCTGTCGGTAGGTACTCACCACTGATGTTTGGGAGCAGCCCACAAGCAATGCCTTTTGGAGATGACCCAGTCATCTGTCCATAACAATTTGGCCCTTGTTAAAGTCATTCAGGTCTTCCTGCCTGCCCATTTCTCGCACATCCAACATCGACTACGAGAATCGACTGTTTATTTTCCGTTCCAAAATAATCCATGTTATTTGCTTCATCAGTATATATATAGTATATATAGGTCATAATGTTTTGGCTCATCAATGTATATACATCAGACAACGTTTACTCAAAGGTTTTCCCTAAACTAGTAGCTTACTCATTAATGCAGTTTGAGGGGTAGGCTATCTTGTGGGACAAAATGTGAACATAAAACTGAGGGGTGCAGAGTATTCCAAATGAGGGGGCTTTGCTCCTTCTGTTCCCCACCTGTGGCAACAAACCTTGGCATGGTTAAAGTTCAGTAAACTGTGTACCGGTCTGGTTTCATGCTTACATATTTACTGTATGTGGAAAGCATTTTCAGTAAAACGTGCCTTAATCGGAAAACTGAGCTGAATGGACAAATCAGAAAAGATGTCATAGTATAAGGCGGGACAGTCTGTTTATAGTATATTTAGGGACAACATCTTGAATGAAACCTATAGATTTGTTAGGTCTGATTGCATATTAGAGTATTTAGTTACTAGACCAAGAATTGCTGTGGCAGTGTAGAGGCCTGTTCCCTCATCCCACCCCCACCCCCTCGTCTGGCTAACTGTAGAATCTGCCAGGAGGCCAGCTTCTCTCAACCATCTGTTAAAGCGTAATCAGTAAAGACCAGCTGGGCTAGGCTGTATTAACTACCCTACATGCACACGCTCTTCTGCTCTACGGGTCAGCTGTCTCAGGACACGAGGGGGTCTGCTCCAAGGGGAGTCCCATAGTGAACATTAGCAGCCTGGCTGTTGCCTTTCTCACGACCCACCTTTCTGTGCCTCTCTGGGAGCCGATACTTTCCAGGCTTTGCAGACACATCAGTGGAATAGATAAGGGCTCAACTGATATATCATTTAGCTGATAATATCGAACGATATTAAGGTTATGCAAATGTATTGATATTGGCTAAAATGTTACAATTTCTAAGGGACTTGTTTCATTTTGTAATGCCAGTTGCTAACAAATCAGTAGAAGCTTTCCATATTATATTGCCAATTAGTACTGTGCAACCTATAAATGCCTCAAATCGTGTTGCAAACTTTCCTCAACACGTCGAGATTTCCTAACAGATCAGCAAGGTTTGAGGCAAGTTTCTTCTTTTGGTAGTTTGTAATAGATTTGCTTATGTGGTTCCTGACGCTGTATGACATACTGTTGTCAAAATTCAGGCTCTAGGGTGGCTAATGCTGCTGTTTTATCTATTTGAAGTACTTTTGTATGTTTCGTTAGATTTTGTACATTGTAAATAATGGTATATCATAAAGAGCCAGAAACCACATAAGCAAGTCTGTTAGGACAAACTGACACAAACTAATCATACTTATGGTTCTAGTTCATTTTCCCTGTTTGATAGACAGCTGAACTCATCATAGTAACTGCGGTCAATGGTATAATTGTCTTTTTTGTCATTTCATAAGTTGAAGTGTCTAATTTGGTTACGTAGCCATCTTGCTTACTAGTTAGCTTAGTTAAACACTTATGCTAACATGAAATAATTCACATTTCTGTGCTCTATGTGTAGATTCATGTGTAGAATCAAACAAAGCTTATAATTTTTCCCTTTTGGGTGAGAAAATATGAGCAGAAACACTCTGCAGAGGCTAGAATACATGCTAATAATGTGAACATTAACATATTACCACATTAACATACCACCCAAGTTTACATTCTGATATCCATATTGGTGATTTAATAGTGTTTGTGACTTAACTCCACCTAGAAGAGTAAAGAACTTGTTAAATTGTTTGCTAAAGAGTCTTGAGCAGGAACCAAAAACCATAAAACTGGAACCTCCAGTAGTGGACCGATGGCCAGTTGAAAAAAAGCACAGTTCCAGTTTCACAACGCTGACAAGTTTGTACAGTGCTAATTATTTTACATATGCTTCCATTACTTGTTAGCTACATTACACTTGTAGCCAGTGCAAAAACTGCTTGCTGAAGCAAACTTCAGACACCAAACATGTCTAGGTCATTTGGGGTGGCGTGCTCTAAATACAAGCAAATAATTTAGTAATCTAGTAAATTAACCCCTAAACTTTATCGGAACCCGTATGTGGACCCACATTTAAGTGTCTCACTCTCATAACTTCATAAAGGATAACAAAGCATTAATTTGATATCAATTATTTACCGCTTGAAGCTACTGTATTTGTGTTTGTAAGTGAAAAGCTGCAGCCTCCCCTGCATGGATCCATTGATCGCCTCTGTCTGCGGGTTTCTGGGGGGCTTTTGATGGACACCATGAGAGCCTTCCAAATGTCATACATGGAAGAAGCTGAGGTAAAGAGCAGGGGCCGAAGGCACCCCAGTGGGACGCACACGCGCACCTCGGACCGCGCCTGCTATGGCTAGCATTTTTTTTGCTTAATGAGACAATCTGAGACATCAACAGTGGATCTACCTTAAGATCTAATTCAAGATATGTGGAAACTGTGGGTTTGTATGTATTCAATGTTATGAAAGTACAGAATAAAAGACTTCAGAATGGCACAGTTGAGTTTACTTGGTTCATTTAGACTAGAACTAGTGTTTATCAGCAAAGAAACAGTAAACAATAGAGATGCTTTATAATGTCTTTATAATGATTTATAATGCATGTCTCTGACACGCCAACCACACGCTGCTGCATTAGCAGAGCATTTCTAGTGTGGAGAACTGCTACTCAACAATGTCTTCCAGGTTTGTCGGACCAATCATCAAACGTTTCAAAACTGCTGTCACATTTTTGAGCATTTTTAACTCCAGTTGTGAGACTATATATGATTATATTACCTCAGTTAGCGCAAATCGCTTTACTCAGTCAGTGAGCTGATCTGCCTGCTAACCAATCAACATTCAGTGCTAACAAAAATGCTAGCGTCCCACCACACAAAACCTGTTTTTTGTAGAAAAATGAAAAGATGCTGGTACATTTTCTTTTATTATGTAATGTACTACATCCTTCTACTTTCCAAAAGTAAAGGAAGTTCCTGCATAAATGGCTAGAAATGTTTTTTGGCTAGCCGTTTAGCTCCATTCACTCCCATACATTGAGGACAGGCTCTCTAGCACTTCACGGTCATGGGTTTGATATAATAAGAGAAATAAGAAGTGGCCAGGCTCCCCCAAACTTTATCTGTGAGCTGACACGTTTGCCATATTTTCAAACCTCTGTTTATCCCTTAGAATTAAACAGGCTGTTTTTTGTCAAGCCAAGTTTTTGTTACTTCACCTTTCTGATATATGTAAATGCGCTCTCTCCTGATTGGCTGCTGTGTATTGTGCATCATTCAAAAAGCAGTGCAGACTGAAATACTACTTATAACTTTAGTGTGAATGGACAGAGCTTAGCTGCTGTAGGTGGAATGGGTGGATGGATATGTGGAAGTGTGTTGGTTGTTGTGACATCACAAAATTAGTGCATTTAAAATGGACTGGGGAGTGAATGGTGCGCTTTGAAATGTTAACAATATTTATATTCTAATGTACTAATCTATATACTTTATTCTCGAAAAACGTGTTTGGACTGTAATTCTTGCAGCCATAATGGAGACAGATTTTCCTTTTTACCTCCAGAAGACGCAATTAGGATCGCACCTCCTAAACACCTCTTAAAGCCGTTTTCACACATTAGCTTCACACTTGTGCTGACCTCGCTTTGACTCAGGATGGAACGACTGCAGTGTTGAAAAGTGGTGAACTGCCAACTGCAATCAGGAAAATATGAAAACTTTCTCTTGGCCACGTTCGCCTCAGCATTCCAACAAATTTTGCAAGCAAGATGTTGTTGTTTTTGTGTAGTTCCAGACAATGCAATTCAGTTTGCAGCTAATTTTCAGAAGTTTGTCAGTAGTTACTTCCAGGAAACAAACAAGGACAAGGCCGTTGAGCAAGGCGTTCCAGCACACAACTACAGTTTAGTACATTGTTTGTTGTGTGATGTTGCACTCTGTAGCGTAGCATTGTATCCCTCAGCGTCATCGGTTTGAAAAAATTTCATAATTTTATATAGTTTTCAAATTTTCACTTATTAGTGTTTCATACGGCCTTTAGGAATCCTGACTGCTAGTCTGACCACTGATCCAAAGGCTAACACATGCAAACATGCAACCAAGCTAGCATTAGCATTACTTTGTACCTCAGTCATCAAGCAGAAGTGTAAAGAAAACAGTGATTACATCATTATTCAGCACTAGAGATACATTTATTTTACCCCCTCAGAAAGAGAAAAGGCACCAAACTGAGGTAATATAGCTAGATAGCCAGCTGCCTTGCTAACTTTATCTTTTAGCTTGTTGTCACCCTCATCTGTCGAGTCAGTTCACTTGTTCGACTAATCCATTCTCTCCATTGTATTGATGAGTTGAAGGCAGTTGCTGCAGATACACAGCTGTAATGTTGGTCTTCCTAACATCAGCTACAAACATTCAACAGCTAATGAGAAAAAGCCGCCACCCCAAAGCAGCTGTAGTATTCAAAGGTTCCTCCCACCATCAGAAAGGGGCTTTTCTAGTCTGGAAAACCTCACTTTAGAGTCACTGTAAAAGGTGACTAGGCAGGTTTACAACTAATCCTTTGTCAGGTATGACTCTGGTCATATTGAGCATGATTCATCATATCGTTTAAAAGACACAATTCTTTTTTTCCTATAATGTTGCCCGTCTCTGAAACGTCCTCTGAGTTTTGATAACGTCACTGTGCACCAGCGAGTGGGGAAAAACCTTCTCCTCTCCTCTCCTATCCTCTCCTCTATTTCTGTCTCTTCTCCTCTCCTCTGTTTCCCTCCTCTTTCCTCTCCTCTCCTCTTTTTGTTCCCCTCCTCTCTTCTCCTCTTTTCTGTTTCCCTCTCCTCTCCTCTCCTCTCCTCTATTCTATTTCCCTCTCCTCTCCTCTCCTCTCCTCTATTCTATTTCCCTCTCCTCTCCTCTATTCTATTTCCCTCTTCTCTTCTATCCTCTTTTCTCCTTTATTTCCCTCTCCTCTTTTCTCCTCTCTGTCTCTTTCCCGGCTGGTTATTGCTCCACTACTGAATGAACAGTCCCGTTCGATTATCTATAGACTCCTCATCCTCCTCCTCTGTGTGGTGGTCTTTTTCTCTTTGATCTAGGAGAGCGTGATTATTCATTCTCTCTCTCTCTCTGTCTCTCTCTCTCTCTCTCTCTCTCTCCTGTCTTTTTGTGCAGGTCCTGTAGTTCAGACTGGTCCACTTGTCTGACACAAAGGCTGCACTGGCCTTTTGTTTGCCCTCCTACGCTTAAGAGAGGACAGAGAGAGAGAGCGAGACAGAGATAGAGAGAGAGAAGGCTGCTAATTTCTCCCACTTTACTCCCTCTCTCTCTGCGTCTTTCTCCTCTCTCTACCTTCGTCTCTCTCGCTCTGTCTCTCACCCACTCACTCAGCCCTCTCACTCGCCTCTCTCTACCTCACTTTTTCTGTCTTAATTTTCTTCTCTCTCTCTCTCTCTCTCTCTCTCTCTCTCTCTGTCTCATGGTCACTGTTACCTGTAATTTTCTGCTCATTTTTCCTCATGCGTAGGCTGAGATACAGCCCACTCGTCTATTATTTCAGATGGCATTTGAATGTGCACCTGCCGTCCTCGGTTCCCTCGGTGGTCTGTTCTGGTGGCTCTAAGTGCAGAGTGGGGACCTGAATGTTAATAGAAGGAAGAGAGGATGCTGAATGGAGGCTAATGAGAGTTTGTGTGTGCGTTTGTGTGCGAGCGTCTCTACTGTACTGTAGAACCGGCTCTTCCTCGAGCGCCGACGCAGCTACTGCCAGTGTTGTGTGTTTGTCAGCTGCCCAATACAGTCTGTGAATCTTAGATGTGTAAATTAACCAAAGTGCTCTCCTGGGATGAGTCGTCATGTGGCTACTTTATCATCGCTGTTTCTCATGCGCACAGTGGCCATCTGGGCTATTTTAATGAAGGGAACGAAGCCGAGCGTTAAAGCGTCAGACATTGTTCACTGTTTTCCTGGGGTTGATGTGAAGTTTGATTAGCTTGTCTGCTATCAGTTCGCACTTTTTCTTATCATTTAACACTTTTCCTCTCAGATAGCGTTTCATAGTAGTTAGCACATTTTTATCAGGTAGAAGTTTCCCATCAGTTAACATGTTTACTATTATAGTTACTATGTATCCCATCAGTTAGCATGTACCCCATGAGTTAGTGTATACCCCTTTAGTTAGCGTGTGGCCCATCAGTTAGTTTATACTCCATGGGTTAGTCTATATGTGTAGGTCTAGCATCTGCCTAGCTTGTTCCCCGTCAGCTAGCGTGTGGCTATAGCATGTACCTCTATGAGTTAGCATGTTTCCCATAAGTTAGCTTGTTCCCTATCAGCTAGCATGTACTTATAGCATGTATCTCTATCAGTTAGCTTGTTCTCCATTAGTTAGCATATATTTCTAGTACCTCTATCAGTTAACATGTTCCCTATAAATTGCAATTTACCTCTATCTGTAAGGTTGTTCCCTGTCAGTTAGCATATACCTCTAGCGTATAGCGCTATCAGTATGCTTGTTCCCCATCAGTTAGTTTCTTTCCTATCAGTTTCCTGTCACACTGTTCTTGCTGTGCAGCCTGAAACCCTGGTGTCCCCTGCATTGCACAGTTTTGCGTTTTCCTACGCCAACACAGCTGAATCACCTCATGAGCTAATTATCAACACTTCCACGAGCTGAATCAGTGCAGCTTGCGTGTGTGTGTGTGTGTGTGTGTGTGTGTGCTTGGAAGGGAGTTTCCAGAACGCATTGCTCTAAAATTTAGAATATATTTCTCATTAAGGTGCATTTGTGTAAGAATGTGGGTTTTTTTTTGTTTTCCTTCTCCTTTATAGAGTTACCATTTCAGAGATTCAGAGGTTTTGTAACAACAGTGATGGGCAGTTTCCAGTCCTCGTTACTTACAGCTAAGGCTGCAATTAATAAATATTTCTGTAATGGATAAATGTATCAACTGTTAATCAGCTAGTTATGCATAAACCATTATGCCTTTACTGTTTTCTTCTCGTTTTGTAATGTCACTTGCCGTAACCTAACCATTCAGTGTTCTCTGCTACGGTGCTATTAATCGACAGAAGTCATGTTGTTAGTGAAAAACTCTGTGTAAAAGTAGAAAGGGATGCTATAGAGACCTCACTCTCCTTTTGTCTCTCTCTCTCTCTATGTCTCTGCAGTGTGTGTTGTTCCTATGGTCCCTGAAGATCAACCATCCCACCACCCTCTTCCTCCTCAGAGGCAACCACGAGTGCCGGCACCTCACAGAGTACTTCACCTTCAAACAAGAATGTGAGTGCGCAGTACTGTGAAAGCCTTTCTTAGTGCAACAGCAGGCTGTGGAGATGGGAACAGATAATATAAAGGCTGACCACTTGAGAGATGTTTGAGCATTTTTTTGTCACAAAGCTATTTTATTATACCTAAATATACTTCTTAGTGATGATCGTTTTAACAATATTTGCCGTTCGAATATCTGTGTAGAGCTCCACTTAGATGTGTCCATTTACTTCAAAAGGAATTCCGTCCATCTTCCGAAATGTCTGTGTAGTTCAGCCATTCAGATGTAAACAGTCATTCAGAGTGGTTTGATGTCAAAGGGGTCATTATAGGAGAACTTTACAGTGGTAGTAAGCTTTTAGAGGTGGATGTCTGGTTCCTGTCACCACCACTGTGAACAGTCCTGACTCTAGAATGGAGCATTTCACACCAAACCGCTCTGAATGACTCTGTTTGCATTTTAGCCACTGACATTTTGAGAAATCAGTGCAATTATTTTTTTAACACAATAGCTTAACTCGGTATCAGCTGCTTGCTTCCCCACACTGTTGTTCTATGTCGCACGTTCAGTCAAAATGTATTTAAAATTGCAGGATAATACATGTTTTCTGAACTACACGTGCCTTATTTAAACACTTTACTAAGTTAATGAACGCTAAGATGAGTTTGGATATCCATGTGCTTGAATAACCACACCCATCCCCAATTTTTATTGGGCTGTTTCAAATGCTGTTTCTTAGTGTTGATTTCAGCTAGTAGTTAAAATTCTTCCTCAGGTGTGAGTTATCATAACTGTTGTTCCAGCATGCCACAAATAAGCACTGTTAATGGCACACAAAAACAGTGCAAACCATGCCAATGTTAGACTGTTTGTGGCCGAATTAGTCATGTTTCAAATGAAAATGAAAGTGCAGCAGACCTTCGATCACCTCCTGCTGTCGAGTCCGCTACATCTGAAGTAGTTCGCCGTGTTTTCAAGGCAGTAGACATAAAGATATGGCTAGTCTTTTGGAGTGCACTTCTGTTTCTTCTTGTACCACCTGAGGAGCCACCATGGTTGGGGCCGTGCATGCAAAACAAGCTGAAAAGCGACAAATTGTAATATTTTCCAAATTCCTCCAGTGTCTGATGGTCAGAGGCACAAGTGTATAGGATGCACATATGAGTCAAATGACTTGAGAACTTAAGCAAAGCTGAATAGGGCCTCTTATTCAAATGTCCTGTTCCAGTTTAAATGGTGCAGCAGTTACATTGAAGCACATGTACAGGTGTCAGAAAGTATCTGCTGTTCCATTTAAGGTGGAACAGAAAATTAGGTTTATATATATATATTGTAATGTATGTTTACTTCAGCATCTAAAATGGTTTTATTTGAAAACACGTGTATACTGTGACATGTACCACAACCCATGGAAACTTTAATCCTGACCATCCTGACCAATCTGTGCAACTTCTCAAAGGAAAAGCAATGACCTGAAACCTGTTTTCACAATCAAGTGTTTTTCCATTTGAAAATGGCTTTCAGAAGGAACCAAGGATGCCTTATGTCGGGGGTGTCAAACCTGGTCCTGAAGATCTACCGATCCTGGTCCTGGAGATCTCCAAGTCCTGGTCCTGGAGATCTACAAGTCCTGGTCCTGAAGATCTACCAGTCCTAGTTCTGGAGATCTTCCAGTCCTGGTCCTGGAGATCGACCAGTCCTGGTCCTGGAGACCTTCCAGTCCTTGTCCTGTAGATCTACCAGTCCTGGTTGTGGAGATCTACCAGGCCTGGTCTTGGAGATCTACCAGTCCTGGTCCTGGAGATCTGCTACCCTGCAGAGTTTAGCTTCAACCCTAATCCAACAAACCTGATCCGGGTAATGGAGGCCTTACATAAACGTCCAAATATTAGAGCCGGTTGTGTTGGATCGGAACTTTACAGGGTGGTGAAAGATCTCCAGGATCAGGATTGAACACCCCTGCCTTACATTATATAATTCAAGGAAGGTTACAAATCCTGAGCTCAGATTGGTTTTCTGCCACTCGAAATGAATGAGAAACACCTGAATTTATACAAATCAATGAAGTAGGTCTAGTATGGACAGAAAAGGACAGGACAATAAACACTGCTCTTGCTTTAAACGAATCCAGGCCTTTTGTTTGTGAAGAGAATGATGAACCTATTGTCCACCCAGAGCAGCGATGTTTAGGCTAGTACCTTTTTGCATAACAAACAGCAGGGCCACATTCAGCATTGGCCACATCTTCATTTAGAAGTGCTCTCATTGTGTGTTCAATGGGCATGTATAAATAAAGCTTGGTGAATGGATCGGAGGCCTATTGCGGGAGCTTCTAAAAGCGAGGCTGATAATGAGGAAGTTGAGCACAGACACTACAGCAATAATAAGCTTAATAAGCTCCTGAAAGAGTGTACACACAACCGATAATGAGTACTAATTAGGCTCGTCTGAACTGAATAGCGACCCTGCTCTTAGCGCCTGTGTCTTGTTCGAAGTTGCCAGTCCAGTTCATCCCAAAGGTTTTGGATTGGGTTTAGGTCAGGGCTCTGTGCAGGCTGGTCAAGTGCAGCCACAACACACAAGACAAACCATTTCTTTATGGACACTCTAGAATGTCACTGTATGCTTTAGAAACTTTCCCATCACTGGAACTAAGGGGTCCAAGCCTCATTATTCCTCCTCCACCAAACTTTACACTTGCCACTATGCATTCAGGTTGCATTCTCACATCATCTGTCAGACCCAGATTTACCTGACTGCCAGTGGGCAGTTGCTTTGAACTATACTTTTTACATGCTACAAAGTCTGTTTGGTGTCATCGCCACTCAGTAGGGTCACCCAGATGTACCACTTGAGCTGTGGGGACAGGAGAGAGGTCGCTTTAGATTAGGGCTGTCACAGTTAGTCTTAGTACTTAAAATTGATTTCACTGCTTGGATGTCCTATCCTCCTCTGGTTCAGCTTGCCAAAAGCATGATGGGACATTTGAGAACCTTTACAGACATAGCAGCAATGTGGAAGGAGTCTTGCTCATAGAAGACTGGATGCTGTGAGACTTGAATGGAATGGCAGGTTAGGTCGGTAAAAGGTGGAAAGGCTAACTTGGGCTTTACCGGGGGCAAATGAGAACCTTCATTTCTGTCTATACAATCCAGCATACCTTTCCCCTTGTACAAGATTTTTGGATTTCGGTAGCTGCTTTTCCTCAAAGCAGGAAGTAGTGGTCTCCAAAGACACGTCCTTCAGATCCACACTTAGAAATGCACGTTTTCCTGTCAGCATTGCTGGTGCACCTTGTCAACTTCATCATCAGAAAATAGATCCTGTGATTCACCCAGCAAGCTTCAGTGTCCTCTATAATTTACGGACCAGATGTTGCCCCCAACAGCGGGTCTAAACAGACATACACTACACTACAAAAGTATGTGGACACCCAAACATCACATCCATATCCATACATGCCATCGATGCTCAGTGAAAAGACTTGACTTGTGGTCGCCATTCCAAAGTTCTGGATTGGGTTGAGGCCAGGGCTCTGTGTGGGTCAATCAAGCTCTGTTACACCAAACTTGGCAAGCCATTTGTTTATGGACCTCGTTCCCTGGAATGTCATTATATGCTTTACAGGATTTCCCTTCACTGTTACTAAAGGGGCCAAACCGTAAAAAACCGTCCCATTATTCCACCTCCACCAAACTTTACAGTTGTCATTGTGGATTCTAGCAGCTTTATGCTGGCATCTCCAAAACCCAGATTTATCCAACTGCCAGATGGTGATGTGTGATTTGTCACTCCAGAGAATGCAGATCCACTGCTCCAGAGTCCAGTGGTGGTATATTTTGTACCACTCTAGCCGAAGCTTGGCATTGTACATTGTGATCCTAGGCTTGTGTGGCACTGCTTGGCAATTAAAAATGCAATCCATGATGCTTCCAGTGAACAGTTCTTGGCTGATGTAGCTTCCAAAGTTTGGAATGGAGGCCTTGTTTGTGGGCTTGTGTGGTCTACTACTTAAATACTCCTAGGTATATAACACTTATTATGAAATGACCAAGGAGCTCCAGCAGGGTGAACTGGATTGTCGGAAAGGTGTCCACATGTTTGTCCATGTACTGTACTAACTTGGTTTGCTGACCTACGTCAGAGTCTTGTGCCAGAGCCAGTTCAGTGATGCGGCCTAAGCCACACAACACACCTAGTGGGAAGGAGGGCCCAGTAAGCAGCTGCTGATTGAGACACTGTGTCAACTATTAAACATGAGGGAGGATCATGTTAAAACCAGAGCTTTGAAAAACTACATGGAGCTGTGCCACCATAGTGAGAAATGGAAATGAATGCTTAAGTGAGAACCAATGGTTTAAATAAGACCTACTATAAGAACACCTAATGTTTCTGTACTACATCACCAGATAATCATAAATTTCAGCATTTACCTTACATTTAGAGAGAGAGCATGCAGCACTTCATGACCTTGCTTTATGTAACCTCTCAAGTCTCCCTCTTTTCGAGCCTTTCAACCCTCTTCTGGCCTCTTGCTTTTGTTTTGACAGGTAAAATAAAGTACTCGGAGCGGGTGTATGACGCATGTATGGAGGCGTTTGACTGTTTGCCTCTCGCTGCTCTCCTCAACCAACAGTTCCTCTGCGTCCACGGAGGCCTCTCACCAGAAATCAACTGCTTAGATGACATTAGGAAAGTAAGTAGCAGTCTGACTGCCTTTGCCCTTGTTAAAGATGCACTCTCGAATGATAGTGCTAACCCTGACACTTTATTTACTGTAAATCTAAAGGAAAAACCTTGAAAATGTGTTGCTACCTTGGAACTCTAAAAGCAAGTTGAAGTCTTCACCTTTTGAAGGTAGACACGGAAGCCAACTGATGTAACTGCAATCAGGTTCACTGTATATCCTGAAGCATGGAATTAAAGGTTGCCGTTGGTCAAAGAATTTGATGCATTTTCTCTCAGTATTCATTTACGAATTCCACCAATTTTTCAAATTGTCTGCATAATTCAGTGGCTGAGCTTAGAGTCATTCTGAGTGGTTCGATGTGAAATTTTTCAATGTAGAGAAACAGAAACTGGTGATTTCTTTACAGTGGTGTTGATGGGAACCAAGGGTCATGATGTCTGCCACGCAAATGCAGCCATTTTATTTACTATCCAAAACCACCAGTGAACCTACACGTGTCTTATGAGTTTTATATGGAAACTCAAACTCTTAATATAATAAGAATCTGTGAGGTTCCTTTTTAGAGGGCGTCTGGTTCCTATCACCACCACTGTCAGCAATTCTGACTAATTTTGGGAAACTGGTGAGTCCTCTCACAATGTTCAAAAGGCTGATTTGTTGCTGTTATGAAAACTAATAGATTCAGGCTTGGACTGCACTGTTAGAGTCTACATTCCATTTTACGTGCCAGAATTGACAGGATTCTCTTTGTCTGTCTGCCCATCGCTCTCTTTTCTCTTTCTGTCTGTAGTTAGACAGATTTAAAGAGCCTCCAGCTTTCGGCCCGATGTGCGACCTGATCTGGGCAGACCCAGGCGAGGACTACGGCAGCGAGAAGACGTCAGAGTTCTTTAACCACAACTCTGTCCGAGGCTGCTCCTACTTCTTCAGGTGCTGACCTTCTCCTGCTATTACTCGTCCTCAGCCCCGGTCCTAAGGGAACCCTGCACTCCAGAGTTGAATGTTTTGCTTCCTCTGACCCACCTGATTCAACTTCAGTCAATCAACTAATTAGCAAACCCTTCGTAAGTGTGGTAGAGCAAGGAACATGCTAAACCGTGCAGGATAATGGGTCCCTGCGGCCCAAAAATTGCCCATTGACTTTTACAGAATATTGACTCTTCAATTGCTGGGTCAGGGGCGCGTGTAATTAGTCCTGACTTCCCTGAATCATCCTGCATATGTGAAAAGGCTGACCATTTGAACTGAGATGCACCTACAAAGCATCTTGGCCAAAAATGGTTAAATGTGGCCAAAAAAAAAAAGAAGATTAAATAGGCCCACAGTGAAGTGGAAAATTCTAACACTTAACAAATTACTTGAATGTTAATGAAAACATTAAACATGAAAGCGATTAAAAAATTTCTTTCAGTCTTGGTCAAACATTCAGAGCAGCAGCAGATCAACAGTGGTGGGGGGGGGCTTGGAACTGTTTCATCGTTGGAATGAGGAACATTAGATAAGCGATTTATGATCTCTGTGTATGCCAAGTATTGAAAGAATACAACACCAAAGAGCTTCTCCACTACAGGTTTGTTAACACTTGAAAACACAATATTCTGCTTGATACGCAGAATAAAACAAAACAAGAGAAGCAAAATTGAAAGCCCCCCACCATCTCTAAAAGCCCAACACCATCTCTAGCCACAAGTTTTGGCAAAAATAGTGCACGGTTTATGTAAAAACATAATGGAATTCACTGCCCTGGATGACCAACCATTCTCTTTTATTGAGGATGTTGAATTTTGTTTAGTACTTTTATTCCAAAGCATAAATAAAATGACAAATTAAAAAAATAAATAAATAAATAAATGTTCAGTTTTTGGACAGTATGTCTTCCGGTTTCGGCCAGGGGTTTTCATTCAATTTTAACTTAGGACTTTTACTGTAGGAAAGTTTAGCATTTTATTTGCAGGCTGAGAAAGATAAGCTTAAAGGTAAGGTCAGCTTTGTCCAGGATGCGGTCAGATGCCGTTTTACCGTAAGAGCTCAGTGTGTGTTCTCCAACTCTACAGTGTTATGATTGCATACAGAGTCATTAAGTCATTCAACCTTGGTGTGGAAATCTCTGATTTGGGCTGCCTCCTGGAAACACAGACCTGTTTCGCACACAAAACGTGTGTGTGTGTGTGTGCGTGACTGGACTCTCTGCTTGTCCAGCTGGCCTTGGTTTGTGCCACGCTAACTGAATGCTAACTAAATGCAGGTGTTGTAATTGCCTGAGCGGTCTCTATGGAGAGGTGGGATTGGGTTCGAGCAAAAGCTCACAAAACCACTAGTGACCACTTTGAAGGGCCTTCTGCAGTGAGCATCTTAGCCTTGTGGCTGCCAGAAAAGGCTTATAAATCCCTTCTAGCCTCATAGGTATTTGGTCTAACCCAACCTAGGAGAGATCCTGAACTGTTTTAGACGAGTTTTAATTGTAGAAATGACCACCTGCTGTATGCAAACAGCTCCGTCTTTACTGCTCTATGGCAACATGTTTCTCTTTTTCTTTATTTATCTTCCAGTTATCCTGCTGTCTGCGACTTTTTGACAAATAACAACCTACTGTCTGTAATAAGAGCACACGAAGCCCAGGATGCAGGGTAAGCAGCTGTTCTCTGTGGATGTGATCCAGTCGTTTCGTTTTAATATTTACATTGTTCTCTGTGTCTTTTTTTAGCTCCTTGTGTAGCTTCTTCAGTCTCATGATGTACAAACAGTTTATTTTGGGAACACTGCATTCTGACTTCCCCATCCACAAGTTTACTTTTTATACAGTTCAGTGTGAGAGCGTGCAAGGCCCGGGTGTGACGCGTCAGCCCCTGATGTGCCTCTCAAATGGTCCACTTGTTCCCCTTTTGCAGGTACAGGATGTACAGGAAAAGCCAGACGACGGGCTTCCCCTCGTTAATCACCATTTTCTCAGCCCCCTAATTACCTAGACGTGTACAACAACAAAGGTAGGCACCACTGAGCCCCGTGCTCACAACCACTACCTTGTCTATGGTGAGCTAGTAACCGTTGGAACGTTTAAGTTATCAGACGTCCATGTTCAAACAGCTGTAGTGGTCTCAGTAATTTTGTGTTTTTGTTGTATTTATCCATTTTTATAGTGATACTTTTGAGAAAAATCTAATTTACATAATTTTCAGGAGGGGCAGCAGAATGGCACTGGGCAGAATGTAGAAAGCAAATGTTAACATAAAAGCAAAGCCAAATCCCAGGCATTTTAGGCAATTTAGAAATCCCGACTGGACACATTTTTTTAGATCCCGAAAAGAGGACGTGTCCTGGACAACAGGAACATATGGTCGCCCTTCCAAGACGTTTTTTTTTTTTCCAGCTTCTCCCCAGTTTAGATGTGTCCAGTCCACTCACTAGTTAGGACTCCCCCAGTCGCACGATACCGGTAGTGCTAGGAGGGCGAAGGCTAGCACAGTCTAACTCTGAGACCTGGGAAGTGCCACTGCATCTTTTTGAGCTGCCGCTAATGACAGCAGACTAGCATAGCGCTGAGTGACTGGGGGGAGACGGGGGGCATCCTACCTAAAACTAGCATTATATGTTATTTGTTGTGTTATGTAATATTCTGTAATGCAATTTGGTTTGACGCAATTCATGATTTTGTGTCCCTTTTATTGTTCTTTTACTGCAATAACCAGCATGCATTACTCAAATATGTCATACAGCCCTTAGGAAACCCACCCATACAAATGGGTGTGGTGTTAGGCTTCCTTGCAGTAATGTTAGCTATCTGGCTTAGCTAACTTTCACAAAGCATTAGCCCTCCCCAAAGCGCTTGGTGTTTTCCCACCACCTTCAAGATACATCATCAGAAGGTGTTTTGCTTGTCTTTAATCTGAAATATCTCACTCTTGGTGACATTGTGGCATAACTGTAAAAGGCAAGTAGGCATGTTTTCAACAGATAGAGTGATGGTTACATTTTAATCCCTTAAATTTAGTGTAAGCATTAAAAACATGAAATTTTAGGCATTTTATTTCATCGGCTGTCTTTGCTTTTTCTCCACAGCCGCCGTGTTGAAGTATGAAAACAACGTCATGAACATCAGACAGTTCAACTGTTCCCCCCATCCGTACTGGCTGCCCAACTTCATGGACGTGTTTACGTGGTCCTTGCCTTTTGTCGGAGAGAAAGGTATTTGTGCTACCTCAGAGCAGAAGCATCTACCGCAGTCTTCTGGGGCGACGGAGAACGAGGAAATGGGGGTCAGGCTGTTGGCCAGCCTTGGCGTCCGCACTGACCTTGAACGAGGCAGTCTGCCATGTCTCGTCACGACTGCCCGTTGGACAGAATGGAGCTGCTTTCAGCCTGATGTGACTGTGCTGAATAGCATGTGCTTTGAACATACAGGCTCCAAGCTTTCGGCTTTCAGACTGGTCTTTATTAAGGCAACTAGGTCAGGTGCTCTTGCGCAAGTCAATACCGTAAATCCTGCTCCTGGGGACCCGCTGTCCTGCCACAGCTTCAGCTGTTCTGTGCCTCAGCACACCTGATCCAGCTTCATCAGCTGATTATCAAGTCAAGTAGTCTTTGTACATCCTTGTATCCACTCATTTCACCCTGTTCTTCGGTGGTCAGGACCCCCACAGGACCCCCACACATCAGGTATTATTTGGGTGGTGGATCATTCTCAGCAGTGCAGTGACACTGACGTGGTGGTGGTGTGTTAGTGTGTGTTATGCTGGTGCGAGTGGATCAGACACAGCAGTGCTGCTGGAGTTTTTAAACACCTCAGTGTCACTGCTGGACTGGGAAAAAATATCCAGCCAACAGCGTCCTGTGGGCAGCATCCTGTGACCACAGATGAAGGACTAAAGGATGACCAACATAAACTGTGCAGCAGCAGATGAGCTCCAGCAGCACTGCTGTGTCTGATCCACTCATACCAGCACAACACAGACTAACACACCCACCACCACGTCAGTGTCACTGCAGTGCTGAGAATGATCCACCACCCAAATAATACCTGTTCTGTGGGGGTCCTGACCGTTGAAGAACAGGGTAACAAAGTATGCTGAGAAACAGATGGACTACAGTCTGTAACTGTAGAACTACAGAGTGCTCCTGTGTGGTCAGTGGAGCTGATAAAATGGACAGTGAGTGTAGATACAAGGAGTTGTTCCTAATAAAGTGCTCAGTGAGTGTATATACACAAACTATATGGTCAAAAGTAAGTGGACACTGCCCTTATTTATGGAATTAAAGTGTTTCAGCCACCCCCAGGCAACATTCGGACTGCCTGTCAGCAGCTTCATGAAATGGGTTTCCACAGCTGAGCAGCTGTGCACAAGGCTAAGATCACTATATGCAATGCCAAATGTCGGCTGCAGGGGTGTAAAGCATGGCAGTGGACACATGTTCTCTAAATCATGCTTCACTGTCTGGCAGTCTGATGGATGAATATGGGTTTAGCGGGTGCCAGCAGAACGATACCTGTCAGAATGCGTAGTGCCAACACTGAAGTTTGGTGGAGGAGGGATAATAGTCTGGGGCTGTTTTTCAGGGTTTGGGCCCTTTAGTCCCAGTGAAAGCTAATGTTAATGCTACAGCACACAAAGAGAAATTAGACAGTTATATGTTTCCAACTTTGCGGCAACAGTTTGGGGAAACAGCAGTTAAAGATTAAAGAGTTTAGTATTGTTTAGTAATGGTAAAAGGGTGTGTGATCAGTCAGTGGTGTATGTTGGTAAGAGTCTAGATTAGTCCAGTTGGATGCTGGGCTCCATCCGCCTCGTGGCAGAAGCTGTTGCAGAGTCTGGAAGTGGTGGAATGGATGCTCTGGTACCTTCTGCCAGATGGCAGGAGGGTGAAGAGTCCATAAGAAGGGTGAGAAGGGTCGTCCACAGTGTTGGTGGCATTGCGGATGAAGCTTTTGTGGTGTCGATGATGAGTAAAGACACCTTGATGATGTTCTCAGCTGTCTTCACAATCTGCTGTAGGGTCCTGTGGTGCGAGACAGTGCGGTCCCCATACCAGGCAGTGAGACCGCTGGTCAGGAGGCTAGAATGTAGTGAGGATAGAAGGGCGGCTGTTTGCCCTTCAAACCCTTCATGAGCTGGATCAGGTGTGTTGAGGCAGGAAATGGTTGAAACTGTGCTGTAAAGTGTGGAGATGTCCTTTAAAGTGTGCAGCAGTGATGAGTCATTTGCAGAGTCACAGGCCAAAGAAATAATACACAGTAAGGCTTTGAATGCGCAATTGGATCACATACATTTTATTATATGTTATAAAGCATATCATCACTGTCATGTCAAAACCTAGTGTCATTTTTACACCATTTGATAACGGCAGCTGTTTTTAACATTGTGTGGATATTTCATGATCAGTAGAAATGACCTTGCCGGCTGTGGGAATTGACTGCTGTCTGGATGATCTGATTGCGTTCACAGTGACGGAGATGCTGGTAAACGTGCTCAACATCTGCTCTGATGACGAACTCATGTCCGAGGGAGATGACCTGTGTGAAGGTACTGGAGACACACAAACACACCTTTTAACACCCATATTTCCTGGTTAAACACTGAGCATAAAAAGTTTGTGGCCTTCTTTTGAAACTTTCTGAGTATGATTTTTAACTGTAACAAAGAAGTAAGAATATCTGCAGTTTGGTTAGCGTAAAGCAGCTGTGTGCTAAAATTTGGAGTGTATTTAGCTTCAGCACTTAGCTTCATGTTCGTCAAAGTGTCTTCCTGTAGGTCCTTTGTGGAAGGATTATAGAAGTCATTAGTGTCATAGCTGATCTTGGATTAGTGTTTACTTATTATATCCTGATGAATGTATGTGTATGTGTGGGACAAAGTTGATCCTAGATCAGAGATAGTCTAATGCTTAGGGCTGCACAGTGTATTGCTGGCTGATATATTGTTTGCTGCTAAATGAGAAAATCTAATTATTATTATTTAGTATTAGTGGTGGGCATTTCTCTTCTGTCCATCTTAGTCAAATGGAGCATATCGGAGAATAACACAATTTCTACAGAGTTTAATTGAGTGTTTACTTTCCGGTGCAAATAGCGTGGGATTAATATAACCTGGAACATTACTGCAGTTTGTTTATATATAGCATGGGAATAATATAACCTGGGAATATTTCTACTTTTGTTTTATAATATGGGATTAATATAACCTTAGATTATTTCTGTAGTTTGTTTTGTAGCACAAGATTAATATAATTTGGAGTTATTTATTCAGTTTGTTATATGGCCCAGGATTAATATAACCAAGTGTTGATTTTATGGCTAGTTTTATTTCCTGAGATTAATATAATGTTGGGTTCATTTAAAAGCATGTGGTTAATAGAATCTGGGGCTATTTCTGCAATTTGTTATATAGCTTTGGGTTAATATAATTTGGGGTTATTTCGACGGTTGTTTTGATAGTTTGAGATTAATACAATCTGGGGTTATTTCCATGGTTCTTTTTATTGTTTGGGATTAACATAATCTGGTGTTATTTGTACAGTTTCTTAGCATGGAAATAATATAAACTGGGGCTATTTCTAAAGCAAGTAATTAAAATAATCTGGTGGTTAAAATAATCTTGTATTATAGCACAGGTTAAATATAACTTGGTGTTATTTCTACAGTTTGTTTTAAAACATAGGATTAATATAATCTATTTAACAGTGTGGCAGTAATGTAACCTGGGGTTATTTCTACAATTCGTTTTAAATCATGGGATTAATAAAACCAAGGTTATTTCTAAGGTTCATTTTATAGCATGGGATTAATGTAACATGGGGTTATTTTTATGATTTGTTTTATAGCAGGGGATTAATATAACCTGAGGTTATTTCTACTGTATTATAGTACAGTATTAGTATAACCTGAGGTTATTTCTACGGTTAGTTTAACAATGTGAGATTACTAAAACCAGGGATATTGCTATGGTTTGTTTAAAAGCACAGGATGACTATAACTTGGGAATATTTCTGAGGTTTGATTTATAGCACAGGATAACAAAATCTAGGGTTATTTCAACAGTTCATTATACGGTAGACGAAAGCCATGAGGTATGTATTATCGGTATCGGTGATCGTCCGTACCAATGCACGCAGGCACGTATTTCTACAGTGTGTGGACTCCAGGCATATGGGCTGGACGAGTGGAGTGTTTCTCATTAAGAAAGAAGGCAGCTCATCAGTACAGATGCCACGGCCCGTCAGAAGCGTCAGACTGTCATTAAATCTGCTTCAGTTCCTTTTTCCCTGGAGACCTGCAACTCGTACTGCATCGCCGGCTACTGAACACACACACATACACAGAGCGCCATGACAGCCATTTCTGAACAGCCGACTGCACACCACAGTGGAGTTAGATTATAGACACCTCCAGACTTGATCACACTTATTATATATGAGGATGTAAATGTGTGCATATAAAAACACTGTAAAACCATTGAAAATGCTTACGTAAACCTGTTTTTGTACATTAACAATGGCACATTACTCTTGATGTCCCTTCGCTTTAAACAAGAGCCATATTTAACAACTGAAGTGAATCTAGAATATGTTTTATTGGACAAAATAGTTAAAACAGCAATGAGTAACATATAGACAGGTGTCAGTATTGCCTGTTATAACAAACTAGATAAAGGCGAATGCATGAAAGTGCACAGCAGCTTTTCTGAGCCTGGCAAAAACAATGCACAATGTTGTGTTGTGACAGTCGTGTTTCATCCACGACTGTCAGATGCTGCTGGAATTTGGTAAATATTACAGTCATTCATGCTATCAGTGTTAGCTGAGAAGCTATGGAGCCTCTCAGCTTGTAGGCCAAGGCCATGGTGTCACCAGAAGCAGCAAGCCAAGTGAGGCCAACTAGTCTCCATGTTAGGTTAATGGCAAATGGCTAACCCCAAGAGACTGGCTTTTCCTTCCACTCTCTTTCCCCTCTTTAACTCATCGACTCATTACAGTCTGATGTCTACTTCTTCGACAACAAACTGGAATGACTTACCTCAGACTACAACTTGCTATGCCGGAGAAGAGGAAATTAGCGTGTTTTGCGTTATGTGCATTTATCTGTGGCACATCTGTATAATGGTAATGACAGGAATGTCAACCAATATATTGCCCACTACTACTTCTGAGGGTTGTTGTGGGGTCATAGTTTCACAGTTACTCACAGTGTGTGATCGGACAGTGTAGGACTACAACCAAAATACAGTTTAAAATGCTATTACAGTTTAAATTGCTAGTTAACAATATCAAAGCTTGTTCATTTCTAAATGAAGTGACATACTAACCTTTTGTGCACCTGGTAGCATAGCTAGGTAATAAACACATAATATTGATAATGCTGATATGAGTACAATTAGCATAGTTAGCTGCTTGGTTAAGTGCTTAGTGTGTGCAATCACTTTCACTATTGACTTATAATGGCTTATAAAGAATATCATTAGGAGATTTTATGAAAAAATGATTCTTAAAAATACATTGTCAGATTAGCCAACCCCAGTTAAGTTAATACAATGAGAGCCACTGCCCTAAACAACACAGTAGCCCACAAATATATTAGAAAAACCTTTCGTAGTTGAGGCTGCCGTTTATAGAAACAGTAGTAGGGTGCACTAAGTGTTTGTTTCTTGTTTATATTTTGCCCTTAATGACATCACCTCACAAAAAATTAAGGTAATGTTCAGTTGGAGGGGTAAAGAAACTCTTTAGGATAATCCCAGCGTAGTACATTAAATTAAATGTTTGTGCAAGTGGCGCTGTTCATATTCCAAAATAAGTTTTCCTTTAATTTTCAGTGTTTTATAGTGAACATGGGATATTTTTTAGATTAGGTTCACATCATACTGTGAACATGTGAAACCGTAATACACTGTAATATCTAAATGGCCACTCTGGGTGACTGGATACAGTCAGTATAGAGAGTGATGTCCTATTTGTTGTTTGTGTGTCATGCAGGTGGAGCACCAGCAGCACGCAAAGAGGTGATCAGGAATAAGATTCGTGCCATTGGGAAGATGGCCAGAGTGTTCTCCGTGCTCAGGTTGGTCACCGTTTTCTGTTTTCTTACGTAGGACTATAGACGGGTGACAAATGAAAAGAAAAACCTGAATAAATAATTTGAGAAACATAACAAGTGCTTCAAGACAGTTAAGCAGTTAACATCCTGTCATGCTCTGTGGCATGTATAGAAGTGCTGAGCAGGTCCACTTGACTTTGAGTTTGGATTAAGATGGCAGGAGGAAAAGATCTGGCTTTGAAAAAGTGGTTTATTACTGGCAGGAGCTTCAGAAAGACTGCTCAACTGGCTTGTGCTTCAATTGGAACAGTGACTAATGTGATCTGTATTTAGATCTATGGCAAAAACATCAGTAAGTAGTTTGAAATTGTGGTCGAAAGTGCACATTCAGTGAGCATGATGCTTGTTCATTAGTGCGATATCTAAGAGCAGCTGTTCCTTAGATAACTGAGAATGTCAATGCTGGACTTGATTAGACTCAGTAAGAACAGTCTGTTCACCACTACATAGAAAGGGATATTAAAGTTGGGCTTCAGTACATAAACCCCTGGATACAAAGCGAATGACCATTTGAGAGTTCAGTGGGTCGGCACTGGTCTACAGAGATGTGGAAAACAGTGAGGTGGTCAGATGAGTCACCCTTCCCCATGTTCTCTACAAGTGGGAGAGTGCATGTGCAGCATACGCCATAAGAACAGTACATACCTGAATGCTTGACCCCACCATTGATGAGGTTCAGTGGCTCTGTTATGCTGTGCTGGCATGGCATAGGTCCTCTTGCTGTAGTTATGGCCTTTGTAGTGACCACATCTCAACCCAGTTGAATACCTGAGGGAGATTTTGGGCCAACATGTTAGCCCACATTCTCCACCACCTACATCAAAACACCAACTGAGGGAATATCCTTTGGAAGAAAGGTGTTCTGTCCCTCTGGTACAGTTCCAGGGACCTATGCCAAGGTAGACTAAGGCTGTTCTGGTGGCTTAAGGTGGTCCAACACCTTACTAAGACCCTTTATGTTGGTTTTTCCTTTAATTTGTCACTCGTCTGTGGCTCGTTTTTGGTTGTAAAACAGCATAATTTTGAAGTACGTTTTTGAAGTTCAGATGAAACCTTCCACCACATTTCAGGACCATTCAGTATGGCTAAATGAGAGCACTGAGCCCTCTCATCTGCCTCAGCATCACACTTAATTACCTTGCATGTTGCCTAGTGACACAAATGCATAAAGACTCTCCATGGCACATCGGACAGCTGGGTTTTGAACCAGGATCCAAGCAGAAGGGCTCATTTGTACTAACCGGAGCTTTCTGTTTGGCGGACTCCTGTCCCATAGGGTGAGGGGACGGACCCGTCCCTCCGAGGCGTCTGGAGATCATTCATTCTCACTCAGCTGCCCTGGGAGAGGGGCCTCATTACCAAAATGGGACACGGAGTTGAAAATAGATTTTACTGTTTATAAAAGCAGCGAGTAACTCGGTGCACAATGAAGTTTTGTTTGAAAATGTACACAGGAGCACACGCACACGCGCTCCCGCTCCTCCATTAGGAATAATGAGCCTGCATCAGTGAGTCATGAGTGGAAATAGCTGTATAATTAATTGCATTAGACATTATTGCGGCTGAGGAGAGAGCTCCAGCCTGTTGGACTCACTGCGAAATCTTTTGTCTCTGCTTTTTTGATAACGATATTCAGATTAGGTTGGCAGTGCTGCAAAAGTTTCAAATTACCATTTAACCCCATGCTAATTGATTCTGCATCCGTGTGCGACTCTTTGTACACGCACTAATGAGGTGTGTGCTTGTGTGTGATCTCAGGGAGGAAAGCGAGAGCGTTCTGACCCTTAAAGGATTGACCCCGACTGGGACGCTGCCTCTGGGAGTGCTGTCTGGCGGCAAGCAGACCTTACAGAACGGTAAGCGTGTGTTCACTCATAAGTGTATCTGTGAGGGAAGGAAGTGTTTCTCATTTGCCCCACACTGACACTGTTTACACCTGGTGACTTGTATCTGGATTGTAACCTGGAAAGCTTTGCCTTTACAGTTTGTAATCAAGGTGTTTCCAGTTAGCTTGGTATCTGAATGCTGTGTACTAAGCAAGTCAGCTCATATACAGTGACCAATTGCAGAACTGTTGTTCCTCGCTTTTCTTATTCTGTTAAAATGATCGCAATCTTGTAAATTACCATTTTGTATGCTGTTATTAATTTGTTTACATTGGCTCGATGCTGCATTGACATGTTGGCAGCAGATAGACGATGGCAAACGGGATATTCTGTTGTTGTCAAAGGAGTCCCGACGGAAAATTCCGTTACCACCAGCGACAGCGTTGCGTCGGCCAGAGTGTTTAGTGGAATGTTCTGTCAAGAGTTCAATTTTCCGTCGTCCGGGGCAGTAAAAATAAACCGGATGTTAATTTTTTTGGGAGCGATTGATGCCAAACGTCTCATTGTTGAATTCCGAACACACCCAGTGTTATCCAACAAAAAACAAAAGATTTCAGATTTCCTTTTTCCATTTTAAATAAACAATCTACACTGCTAAAGCTCTTTTTACACTTGTGAATCACCTTTTACGCCAGTCACCATAGCAACATTTGTATGGCTTTATGCTGCTGTTGGTCACGTAATGCTATGAGCCACAGAATGATGTTTTTTCAGCACGAATGCAGCATCACACCAGTGTTTTACGATAATAATAACATTTTAATGTTGCGTCTGACTTGCCTCAGAAGTGGGTCACTACATGGATGTGACTACATGACTATAACAATACAACCAATACAGCCTAACATAACAGATCCAGAAAACCGTGTGGTAATCGACTGTACGTTGGAGATGCAGATTACACTCAAAAAGCTGGAGAACTGCTTTAAATCTTTAGTGCCGTTTCATCCGAAACCTAGATGGCTGTGGCAGCTGTTGCTGAAGGATGTGGTGCCCTCTTAAGCATCCTGATACAGTCCTTTGGGTCCTACTAGGTTGACCTGGCTTACTCCAGATTCTCTCTCTGCGCTGCACTGACCTACATCTGCCTTAACGCTACAGCTCCAGCTCCTCTAAAGGGAGCCGGGGGGGTTTCATATGCACTGGACTGAGTGGAATGGCCACTGACATCTGTCGAAATTAAAATGCTCAGACAAATTAGCATTTGAACACTTGAGCTTGAGTGAATGTGGAAATGTGTTTCTAAAGCTGGTGGATCTGTGGACTGTTGCAAAAATGTTAGCCCAACTAACCTGATGCTTTAACACTACATGGACTGAAGAGGTTCAAAGTCTGAAAGGATTGTTCTCCGGTAATAGATCAAACCTGACCATTGTAAAACGTTAGCAGTAATAAAAATAACTGCATTGGTCACATGGAAGACGTCCTCCAAAGATCTTGGAGATTGGCAACTCTGGCAACCACCCAGAAGTCATAGAACTACAGTTACATTCACTTGATATTCATATTGCAGATTGTTAGAATCCGATAAGCCATGTTATGAGGGAATTGGCTGATTATGAATGAAAAAAAAAACATTGTAAAATAAGGCACACAAACTTGTTCCACTGTTTCTTCCAATGTATTGTGGTTATCATTAAATTAATGGTTATGTAATCTAGATTTTTTATCTATTCATTCAAAACAATTTGAAGAACCCAAAAACTAACAACAAACCATTCAGCACCAAGGACACTGTTTTATGGGTGCTACTTTATGGGTAGTGTACAATAATTAGAGACCACCCTTCATTTATTGAATTTCCAGTCAAAATGGCCATTAAGTACCAGTTATTCACTTTTCAGCATCAGACCAAAACCAGAATACACATATTTAATAAAAAATTCCACAACACCTGAAAATAATATAAATTTTTTCAGTATTTATTGTGTCCACTTTTTGCTTTTATTACAGCTTCTATTCTTTTCAGCAGACTTGCTTTCAGTTTTTGCTTTCAGAAATCTACAGCCACACTTTCAAAGTTCAGTCTTAGAAGTTGGTTGCACTTTCAACTAATCCCAAACACATTCAGTGGTGTTGAGGTCTGGACTCTGGGGTGGTCAGTCCATTGTTCAGCTTCTTTGTTTGATGTGTCTCCTTTTCTCAGTGAGGTTCTTCTTGACAGCTACACATCCTTTCAGACCCATAGCGCTGAGTCGTCTTCTCACAGTGGAAGGATGGACAGAAACACCTGTGGATGTTTTCAGATCTGAAGCAGCTTGATTTTCTCCTCTCTCTCTAAGATGAAAGCTTTAAGTGCTGTTTATCTGATGGGGACAGTTTTGGTGGCTACCAGGTCTTCCAGGTGGTTGTTAGGAATCACAATTTCTCTGTAGCTTTTAATCGTTTTTTGAACTCCAGTTTTGGAAACTCCTGTTTATGCAAGTGGATTATCTTTTATCTAGTCTCCTCAGAAACATCTGCTGAGAAGTGAATGTGTTGTACTTAATGCCCGTTTTGACTGGAGATTTAGCAAATCAAAGGTGGTCTCTAACTTTTGCACAGTGCTCCACGTTGCTAAAAGCATGTTAAAACTGAAATACACTACCACAGTATGCCCGTATCTTGGGTAACTCGTCTGTTTGGTGGCCGATGGCGTATCGAGGTGAGGTTGGCACAGCTGGGCCAGTGCACGTCCTTTGTTTACAAACAGAAAAAAAGGAGTCCATAGAATAATCTTCTGTTGCAATAACATCTCCTGCTGTATGTGTGTACGTGTGTGCATATAAACATTCTCCTCTCTGTCTCGGAGGATTCTGCGAGTCTTCCCTCTCGTCCTTCTGAAATGTTTGCTGTAAAGATTTCTGTTTGGTTGTGATGCAAACACTGTGAGCAATGTTTTTTTTCGCACCATGCAACAAAAGAAAAGAAAAGAGGAGAGTATTTATAGGCCTGCCTGTCTTCCTTTTGGCATCCAAAATGGCAGCTTGCTGCCTGCCCACTGACTCTCTGGCTGTGCAGTACCTGTCAAAAGTTTGAACGCACCTACTCATAAAAGAGTTTTCCTCATTTTTACTGTTTTCCACATTTTCCACAATTCCACAATGATCCATACAGTCATAGGCAAAAGTCTGAACACCCAGGCTGAGTTGCATTTCTTTTTTATTGTGTTATTGATGTCATCACATTTTTCTGCCATTTTAGTGAACAATTTCTTTTTTTTGCTTGGGAAAAAATTAACTGTGTGCTGAAACTTCTGCACAGGCCACATTTTACGTTTTTTTTTTTCCCCAATATGTTAAATTCAGTAAATAAACAGTAATTGTATATTGAAATGTGCAGAAGTGTGTTCTCTGTAGAGGATGTGCCCAAACTTTTGTGTACGACTATAAAATAACACGTGTTGACTTTTGCAGTGACCAAAATATGTGTTCAGACTGTCCAGACTTTTGGTAATCTCTCAAGTGCCTTCGTGAAGTGCCACCTAGGAGTAGAGCTTTAATCGGGCCTGACAGGGTGGTCCGTACCCAAATACAGTCCGAGAATTTTCTGTCCGACCTGCTCAGAACCACAGCACTAAGTTTTTAGTTCAAACCCGACCCAAGCCCAGCACAATTCTGTCAGAAAATGGCCCGAATCAGGTCCGAATTTAGGTCCAAACGTTTCACTGGTTCTATAAAGCAGTTCATTTGTGCACATGCAAGGCCGAGGCTTATGAATTACCCTACCAAACGCGCTGGCGTGTCGCATGGTCCTCTCTACCCCGAGAGCCAATCAATGCTTGCCTGGTGTGAGAGGTGCATTATGGGACTGCTCATTGATCCGTCCACTCTGAGTAGGCAGAGCAGTCGCTGAGGTGTCCGGGACCAAAGGAAAGGTCACTAAAGGTCAGAAACAGGGAAAAAGCGAGTGAGAGTCCAAAAAGACTGATTGCAGTAGAAGAGACATAAGAGCTGTGACCAAAGAGCGTAGAGAGTCCAAGGAAGAGATGCCGTAGAACAGGGTCATCCAATAGATTTGACCTAGGGCCAAATTCTTGCAAAAAGGGCCGAGCCATGTCACCAATACATAGCTGCTCATGTAGCTGATTAGCCATGAAGTACTCTTCAGATTTTTGCTACATGAAAGCTGGCAAAATGAGCTAGCTATAAAAAATATGTCAGAATGTCTTGAGAGGAAAACCAGTGATGGTAGCACCAACAACAACGTTGTTCTGCTCGTCTCTTTGAAAATTGTCAATGGGCCTATTTATTTTATATACCATTAGACGCGGCATGCGATAGTAGCTGAACATGGGGCCAGATATATCTTTAGGCCACTAATTTTGGTGCTTAAAGAAGATGCTGAAACCTTGTTTTTGCAAGAAGAACAACTTCAAGTGAATAGGTCATTATAGAACCATTTTTTTGTAAATGAAATGTGAGTGTAAAGAAACTTTTTTGAAGTTGAAAGCACTTTCAGGTAATATAAAGATTCTGTACCAATCAAGAGATTGTTCTAGAACCATATATCCAAGCCAAGAGCCCTTTAGGACCAATATATCAGTTGGCCAATAATTTCAATCTGCAGTTTTATCAGTACTGGCGAAAAAAAAACACCAATAACACACCGATAGTTGGGGACAATTTTGGGTTGCATGATCCCTGGGATTTGAACACATAACCTCCTGACCTGGTTGTACCACTGGGGTAGCCAATATGAGTTATTCCCTGTTTAACTGTATACCAGCAATACCGACTTAACCAGTCAATTTATATGCAAAACACTGCTGTGGTTAATATAACAAAAACATGTGAAATGTATCCAAACTGAACCTTTAGCATGCTGTAATATAGTCTGTAACAAAAGCCTAAGATATCAGTATATAGCTATAATGGCCTTTACGAAAGGAATTTTTTGGTATCAGTATTGACCATAACATTTTATATCAGTTGGACCCTATTTGCCTTTACTTTTAGCAGCTTACTGATGACATTTGAGACAGAATAAGATTAGAGGTGGAAGACTTGTCTGGTAGAAGGAGGCGCAGGGTTGGCAGTAGTGATTGTCTGGAGAAACAGCAGTAGACGGCAGTCCCTCACTGTGATCTTTTTATGTTTCTGCCCTGCGTGGAGGCTGTTGGCCTTCGCAGACCCCGCTGCTGTGGTATTTAAAAGTGCTCCATGCAAGAATAAACCAGTAATTGGGTCCCGATTCTTGCCTGCTTCTCTGCTCTGTAGCAGAAAAATGCGCACATGCACACGTTGGCTATTTAGGAAGAGCTGTCCAGTTTCTGACAGGCAATTCAGTATGCCAGTCGTTGAATGTTCGCAGGGATCATCTTTAACAAACTGTAGCGGTTTGCTAATAGCTTTAGTCAGTTAAATATAGGTGTACCACCCTTTTATATCAATTGTTAATTTTAGAATATTCTTATTTTAACGTCTGTGAAGAGTATTATCTTGATGAGCCACTCCTTTGCCAAATCTTTTATATAAGGAATGAAGTAAGAACCTAAACTGATAACTGTCGCTAATCACCTACGCCTCTGCCTCATCTGTGTACTTGTTCCAGATTTGACTAATTCCTTTTCCTTTTTTTCTGCCAGTTTTGTGCCATGCTTATTTGCTGAAATGAATTTCTATTGTTTGATCTGTCATGCTGTGGTTTGCTTGTGGGAGTTGCCAGTAAATGCTGAATTAATATCAATGACCACTTGCTTTTTTCCCCTCTTCATTTTGGGCTTCTCGTTAATGCAGCCACAGTCTTAGCAAAGGAGGGCAAAGGTATGCTAGCTGCCTGTGGTTTCTGCAGTGTTGGTGTTTAGTGAACCCCCCCACCCCTCCACCACCACCCCAAACTGTGTTTTTAATGTGCTTTAACCTCATTCCTTTCCCTTTTTCTATGGCGTCATGTCCCTGTCTATGTGTTGACATTGTACCCTTGATTCAGTAAGTGGTTATTCTTGCACATGCAAATTAAGTGAGTGGAGAATCCACACTTTTATAGCAAATGTGTTTGATTGACATATAAAGCATCATTAGTTTGCTATAACAGAAGATTCTTATGCAAAGCAAACCAAAAAATGCTGAGTCCAGACCCTTGAAACTCCTAAGTAGCAGGTAAGGAAAGGAAACGGGCCTTCCGATGGTTTCCGTCGCCCATTGCACTGTACAGCCAACTCTGCCTGCCAGTCCCAGGCCCTCTGCTAGAGCCGGCTAATTCCCAGGCCTTGCTCTCGATTGGTCGAGGAGTCAGGTCCTCCCAGTGCTGAGTATTTTCAGATTCTAATCTCGTTATGTTTGGCGCACCTCCGGAGATGGCCTTCTTTCTAACCCTTCAACCGAATACCTCTCTCTCTCTTTCTCTTGTGCTCTCGTTCTCCCTCTACCGTAATGCGCCGAGGTGCAAACAAACACTTACTTAGCACACACCCACACAGTCTCGGGGTGTTAAGTGTGCCACAGCAAGACGCTCCCGAGTCACTGACCCGGTTTCCGCGCCGATGAAGAACAGAGGGCTGCTTTTCCTGCCTTTTCCCTTCTACTGGGAATGAATGGGCCAGTTGTGTTTGCTCTCTGAACTGCGACTAATTCTCCTTGGCAATAGTCCAGGGTGTTTTTAGAATTACGAGAGGGCATAAAAAAAAAACTGCTGGTTGTGCAAGAATGTCCTTTTCTGTCTGAGCATGTTTTGCAGTTTTGTGGGTGGAAACATCAGTGTTTTTAGTGTGTGTGTTCCGTGTTGCATGTGTGTTCTGTGTTATTCTTCTACCGTGCCTCCTCAATCACAATTAGACCAAGTATTTGTTTGCTTTTTGGATGATGTGCCAAATCTTGGTAAAGTACAGTCTGCTATTGGTACAAAGCAAGCAGTGAACTGAGTGATTTGCAAAGTGGTGTATTTTTGTAATTATCATAAACTCTAGATGATTCCACAGTGATGTAAGCCATTGCGTGATGAAATGTATAGTTTTGGTAACACTTCAGGGGGCACATGGTAACACTTTTATTAAGGAACACACATTAGGGCTTTATTAGAGTTAAGACCCCTTATGCAAGTTATTTAGCATGGATTATGGCAAATTCACATTGTATTAGTGTTTAATCGGCAGCGTTCGATTCCGGTAGGTTCAAGATAGTGTCAAGTAATATCTTAAGTTTATTCAGTAATGGGCAGCCAGGTAATTAGTGCTTATTAGCTTGTTACCAGCTATTGTCCTGATAAGGCTTAATAAAATCTTAATAATGTGCAAATGATTGTGATATATAATACACAAATAAGTGTGTTTATAAATGCTTAATTCACATTAGTTACTGCTTAGCAGTGTAGTAATGAGCAGCCAAATAATTTCCACAACTGACTTGATAAGGCTTAGTAAGAGCGTTTATTACAAGTACTCTGGAAAATTCACTTAATAATTGCTTAATAATGTAGTAATAAATAGCCAGCTGATTAAGTCTATTACAAGCGCATTATAATGTCCTCCTATATTGTGTTACCGCCGATTTTTCTCAATCTGTGTATCTTGTGTGCAGCTGTGTAAATTTGAATTATATCATTATTGAATGTTTATTGTTGTTACTACTGCTATGCACTATTAATTCTGATGTTCTGTTTTTCTGCGGCATTCTCTCTGGTAAGCTCATTTCTGAAGCTAATTAAGAGTCAGCCAGTTGGTGTTTTGTGTTTGTTTTGCTTTTATTTGCTCCTGAAGAATATGTGTTGTGCATGCCGTTTAAGGGTGTTGTATAACTAAATGAAAAGTGAGTCCAACCTTTCTGACGCGTCAAAAGTGTTCTAAGAATCCTGTCAATTCAAAGACCGTGAAGTGTTTGTGTTTGTCTGCTTGCCCTTCCTTTTGTTGGTTTTTTGTTACTGCCGTGAAAGCCAAGTTACTCTTGAGCAGGTCTATAACTTCACTTGAGTAAAAGTAGAAAAAACTGAAGGCTTTGTGATCGTGGAGCCAGTTGTTGGGAAACCACTTTTATCGCATACGTCCTCTAGAGGGAGCTACTTTACTAAGTCCTAATGTTCCTCCTGCCCTTCTAATCACTCTTCTTGTCTCTCCCCCTGGGTCCATCCCTTCCTCCCTTTCCCCCGTCTTGTCTGGCAGCCATCCAAGGCTTCTCCCCCACGAGGAAGATCCGTAACTTTGAGGAGGCACGGGGCCTGGACCGGATAAACGAGAGGATGCCCCCACGGAAGGATGGCCAACAGCCTCCGGGCACGACAGTCAACGAAAAGAACGGCACGGAGACCGGAAAGGCGTAATGGGGACCACTCCTGGCCCCACCATCCCTCCATCGCAGTGTTCTCTCTCTCTCTCTCTCTCTCCTCTCCCTACCCATGCTCTCCTCTAGAGACAGAACCCTCCCCTGCCCTCCACAGCAGGGGAGGGCCCAGGACATGCGGAGAGACCCGACGCCACAAGCCCAGAGAGAGAGAAATACAAGTACAACCATGAGAGTTTTATTTATTAAAATGAAACGTATTAGTTGTGTGTGCTAGCAGTGTTTTAAAACATGAACGAACTTTTAAAAACATGCCCCCACTCCAGAAGCGAAAATTCATGGTGTGTCAACTGTCAAACTACAAGAGGCCTGATGGCCCAGAAGTAATGTCATACATCTCGCGGTGCTTGGAAAGGGATCACGTGACTCCAAATACTGATGTGTCTGATCATTTATGTACATTCGTAAGGCATTTGCTGAGTGGAACCTAAAGGGAAATAAGTCAAGGGACGCCACCGAGAAGGAGTCTATATATTCAGATCTATAGTGAAAACAATGAAATATTTTTTTTCTGTGTTTTTTTTTCCAAGTAAGAATGGAAATCCATAACTGCAGCTGTTTTTGGTTCGGCTAGTTTGCACTCACAGTAAGAAACAGCGCTCGCATGTGTAGTCTTCGTAACCTGCTGCTTGGATGTGACCTGTCAAAGAAGCCATAACAACAAGTGGCATTTACGGCTTATGTTAGATTATGACTTGTAAAACTTGCCTGAGGTTTTATATTTGCAGTCATAAACTGACATGAACTATCGCAAGAAAAGTTACGACCTTTTACAGCAAGTCCGTATGTAACATTGTTTATCGCCTAGATTTCTTAAACTCCACCGTCATTTTGCTATCCGTTAAAGAAGGGATGGAAGGGGCTTGAGTTTGTGCGGTACACCCGGATCCTGCTGGATCTTTAGTCAGTAACAGTGTAAATGTATACATCTAACTTAAGCACTTGGACAGTTGGAGGCAGCTGAAAGTCGGCTAGCTCCGACTTGGCTCGGAAAACCAAAGGAAGGTATGAATTTTGTTTTGTACTGTGAAGAATGGGCTACAACAACTCTGGGTGCATTCTTAGTCCTGCATCCACTCGAGTGAATTCATACAATCCTTGTTGTAGTTTATATAAATATATAGTGAAAGGACTGTACCAAATGTTGAAATTGTTGTAGGAGTGGCCAAACTCTAGGCTGAAATCTGCACAGTATATACTGAGCTTGAAACATTAACATAGCAAGTTGAACCTTCTTATAAGTGTCACAAAGTGTATTTTACCTGCTGGGTCTGTAACACTACACCACATATTTGTTGGCGCTTAGGTGAGGTTGTGGCTCCCTCTGCTGGAGAGCTGAATAATCAAAGACCTGTTTCACATTTGATTCAGACGACAAAGGGAAACAGCATTAAGACTGATGTTCTAAGTGTTTTGGAGAGTTTCTTTCGTTTTAGGCTTTTAAGTGTATTGGGGGTTTATGATAATGAAGAAAATGATGACGATGTGGAAGTAGCACAAGAAGATGCTGATGATATGCACAAGAGATACTACCATTAGTGACTGAAATTTTGGGGTATTAAAGGAAAAAAAAAACGAAAAAAGACACTATTGAGTAAAAAAGGATTTTTTTTTTAGAATATTTTAAATGCTATTGTTGAATAACAATGTTGATGGTACTGTTTCTTACTCACTTTTGTGATGCCTACTGTTGTGCTCTATATGGAATATGTACGAATGTTTCACAGTTTGAACTGAATTACCGGACCAGTCCTTAAAGCGGGGAAAATGGCTGACCAGTTTGTTTATCTTCTTATTCCAATGACACGACCTGTTCAAAGGTGCTCATTTGAAGCCCTAAGTTGTTAGCTTCTTTAGTCGAAGTATTGTTTTTTAAAGCAGAAAGGGAATGATTATGTCCATTTCTTTGCTACAGGTCAGAATTGGTGTGTCAGTCTATGGCTACTTGGTCAATGCCAGTAGATAGAGGGCAGTAGTTAGGGCGAGTAGGGGCCCGTCTTACAAAGCATGGCTAAATTTCGGCCTCACAAAATCTAAAAAATGCAACCACAGTGAACTCTTTCAACAACTGTCCCTGTTAACCCAGGGTTAGATGCTCAAGCTACGCTTAGTCATTGTATATGTGCACATAAAAACGTGATAAATAACTAGTCGAGCAGCTTATTTTTCAAAAAGGGAAAAAGAAATTATACTTTATATTCTCGATGTCTACTACAATTTGTTATTGTTCATGTGATTGATGCCACATCATAAAAATGACCTGATAATGTCCACCTCCATCAGAAGGCTGTCCTTGATTGGTCAGAATCTTGGCCTGATTGGTCCTTGAGCTTCATGATCCAAAATCCCAAAGTTACCCTGCTCTGGAGCAGAAGACGGTGATGTAACCCAGTTAAAGTGGTCCACCATATTTAAACATCCAGTGTTAGGTCAAACCGAGCTTAAAGTTAGCTGGCTAAGCTTGAAACCATTCTTCATGAGACGGGCCCCGTTCCTCGAACAGCAAGCATTAAATAACATCCCCACTTTGTTTAACCCGGTTCTAACCCCAAACATCTCACTTCTCACTTCATCGACAGTCTTTTCTTAGCAAAGAATGAAGACTAATTGGAATCAGGTGTTGTGCTGCAGGGTCGGAACAAACACCTGACACTATGACCCTTGATGGATTTGTTTGGGTACACTGCACTGAACATTTCAGAGGTTTGCAGTATCATGCTCCCCAGGATTGGACTACACTAGAAGCTATGTAGGGGCCGAGGGCTTGTAGCATCCCTGATTTTTTGCTTGATTTGCAGGAGTGTGTTTATTTGAATGACTGTATTGAATCTGTTCTGCTCTGTAACACTGGCTCATTCCTCACTATATGTGCAAGGGAGAAGCTTTAGCAATGTTTTAAAGGGGTAAGTAAGGTGACGCAGTGGCTGGATGGATCCCACACTATGACCAGAAATACGCTTTATAAATAGTCTTACACACTCCGATTAAAGTTTTAACGGATGGATGCAACCTTCTGTCGAGTACTTGTAATGCAAGGCCACCATTTAATTCTTGGTTTTATGTAGATGTATCACTTGAGAAAAAAGAGAAATAAAATGGAATCCAGAAGACAGAAGTGGTCATGTTTGGTTTGTTGGGTTTTGTATTTTGTGTTAACTACGTTTTTATTGAATACTTTGACTACAAAAGGTCTCCAAAATGGTAACTTTACAGGATAAGGATAAGAAAAAAAAGAAAAATAGAGATGGAAGAATGGGATGATTTTCAGCCCAAATATGTGATCTGATATGTGACTTGAGAGCTGGTCAGTGACATAAAACATATGACATATTTTGCTGCAGCCCTGCATGAGGACCCTTGGTCACAGGATCCTGCAATTTGTCGCTCAAACGCTAGCTGGAAGTACAGACCATTTGCGCAGGGCTGCAGAAACCTCGTATTGGATTGTATTCACAGCCTCTTCCTCGATTGGTACTGGCTATCGGCTGATGGTGCTGAAAGGTGTTGATATCAGCCCCAGCAACACTAACCGGTCCATCTCTAACAAAAAACAGCAAAAATGGGGGTACAAGATTTTGTTCCAACAGCAACGATATACAGGCGTCTTTGTGGACAGTAATGATTATGATGTTATTGTGGTGATAAATGCACTGATGCTAAAACTGTTCCTAAACATTCAGGACATTCCTTTGTAATGTTACAAATATTTTATTTAGAAGGACCAGAGTGCATATCATTTTTTTAAGTTGTCAGGCAGCTACAAATTAAATTTATTTACAAATTAAGTGTTTATTAACACGTTCATTATGTAAATGTGTTATATATTTTTCTCAATTAAAAAAAAAATAGACTTTAGGCTTGTTTGAGTCACAATCAGGCTCACATGCATTCTCTCACATTGCACGCAACTGAGAAAATAAATAATTCTTAAACTCTTAAAGTATATGCAAAGAAGGCTCCAGTAGGAGGTATTGCACCATCGAGCATAGCTTTGCTTCCCCTGAGACCAGAGTACAAGTTTGTATCTGTGGTTTTACAACCTATGGTGGCGCTACTCAAATCCAGTGGAGTGTGACATCACAATTTACAATGTGGCTTCTGTTCCAACACTCTGGAGTCACCACACCATTTCAAGTCCTGTGTGAGTGGAACCAAGTATTGCAGAGTCTTCCAGGCCTTCCAGCACTGGGTTTGCAAATGCGGCTTAATGTACAGAACAAGCTGAGTTGGCTTCTAGAGGGCCCCACGTGAAACTTTAAGCTGCAGTTTTGCAAAACATTAGCCCTTTTGAAGAGCTTGTAGGTCCGGTTAGCAAGAGATTGAGGAGAGTTTTGTTTTTTCGGCAGTTCCACAGAGATTAGAGTTCAAGCCTTCGGTGGAGGAGGTGGTCTAAGTGCCTGGAAAAGAGTCAGTCAGTGAGTTACCATGAAGTCATTGACCTATAGCACTCTGGCCAGAGTGCAGTAAGTTACTAAATGTATATGCATGTATTAATGAATTTTTTCAGCTGGTATTTGGATAGCCAAATATAGATGGAAAGAAATAAAACAAATAAATATATATAATAGATGTTACAACAAGATTAAATGTTCAAATTAGCAGAGCTCGCTTTATTACCTTGTGTGCTGCCCTGAAGTCGGTGTGCAGGGTTTTGGGTGGGATGTTGCCCTTAGGAGGAGGAGGTGGCGGAGGGCCTTTTGGACGTATTGGCTAAAAATAAAAATAAATGTGCTGCCTTAGTTCGCTGACAGAGGGCGCCAACAAAAGTATGACAGGTTATGAATGTGAGATGTTAATGGTTACCAAGTTCTGCTGAGGAGGATTTACTCTTTGGGCGCTGAAATAAGAGTTGTTGACTGGTGTAGGTTCTTTCTTCGGTATCTGACTGCTGATGGATGAAATGGACGAGAACGCCATTGAGACGGTTGCATAGCTGTATATGTATGGGTAAGTGAGAGGAGGATTTGTGTATGCATGCTTGTTTGCATGTGTCCCTGCTCACCTAATTTGACGTGGGCTCCTCTTCCTGCGTTTCATAAGATAGATGGCGACCCCAATGAGAATGGCACCCAGCAGGATGCAGATCACTACAACAATAGCTATCACTCCATCTACAACAGGGACAAAGAGTGGAAGGTACAGTTTTATTCACCTAAGTATTTTGCCAAGATCAGTGTTCCCGACATATCTTGAAAACAAAAGTTGTGCTATTTTAACCTCTAAACCAAACAGTAGTTGGCACGTTGCAGTGTAGTGTGCAGCAGACATCCCCAATCAAATTGCAGACAACTAGCTAGCTCCCAAGGCATCAGAGTCCAGAAGTCAAGGGGGTTGGTATGTTGGAATACAACATGGGTCCACCTACATAGGTACAAGATTACTATGACTAGGAGCTACAGGTGCAGGGTATGTGGTACTAGGAACTTCAGATATGTTATATAGGGGACTAGGAACTACAGGTATGATGCTTCTGCTGCTACTAAGAACTGCAAATTGGTGTGCCTGGAACAAGGATCTACAGGAGTGGTGTAACTGGGACTAGGAACTCTAGGTATGGTGTGACCAGGACTAGGAACCTTGGGTATACCCGAGAACTACATGTAAGCTGTATCTGGGGCTGCATACAAGTTGCTGTGCATCTGAAACTGGGAACTCCAGATGTGGTATTCATGGGACTGGGAAATACAGGAATGATGATTCTGAGGCGAGGAATTACTGGTACTAGGAATTACATGGTATCTGGAACTAGGAACTACAGATGTGGTGTGTCTGGGACTATTATACACAAGAGAGGCTTGATCAGGTCTAGGAACTTCAGGTTTGAGGTGTCCAGGACTAGGATCCTTGCAAATGCATTAGGTATACTGATACTGCTAACTACACGCAAGGTGTATCTGGGACTAGGTGAGGTATAGTTGCAGGTGTGGTGTATCCGGGACTGAGAATGATAGAAGTGGTGTAAGGTAGAACATACTTCTAGGCAAGCCACTGCCAGCTTGCCTCTCGCAGTCAGGTGGTAGCCAGCCAGGTTCACAGGTGCACTCCAGCTTGTGATTACACACCTGTAGGGCATACACATTTGCAATGTTTACCAGACTGTGTTGTTTTCCTGGGTCACAGGTTTTATCTTTCTGTTAGCTCTGTGGGTATCTCTGGAATGGTGTGAATGTCATTTTGCAACTCTGATACATCACAGTGGTTCCCAGTCCTAACTGTGGGAAAGTCATGGTTTGCCTATTTTCTCTGTTTTCCCTTGCTTAAGTACACCAAGTTCATCATGTAATTACCAACCCATGTTTGAGATGAATTGGGAGAGTTAGCAGAGAAAGCATGAGCTTCTTCTGGACTAGGGCTGAGAACCACTGTCATGTGGTGTAAAACAGGCAAATATTGGAAGTGCAGTTATCTTACCCCATGTCCTTTGCATTTGGCTGAGCAGTTGGTTGCCTTGTAAGCAACTTCTAAGCTCACACACTGGTTCTGACTGCACACCTGGAAGACAGACAGAGAGAGTTCTGTCGTTTAATAACTTTAGGAATAAGCATCATAGGTTTAGGAATACTGCGGCAGCCGTGTGACAAGATTGTACTGCTGTATGGTGAATGTACCTTCTCTTCACCGCACTTGGTACCAGTGTCAACTTGACCAAAGTCATTGTCACGGTCACCGTAGAAGGTGGCTTTGCAGTTGTTAAACATGACAAAGCGGCCATAGTTTGGATCGTCCTGGCCATTTTCGCAGAAAAGCTTTCCACACATTTTATCCCTAAGGGCACAAAAGTTGAAAGACAGGTTTAAAAGAGAGGTTTGTTAAACTGGTAAATAGTTGTGCAGGGACAGGATATTTTTTGAAGGGCATCTCCGGAGTGTTCTGCGCCACATCAGCTTGTTTTTTTACCTTAAAGAGAAATTCTCCTGTTTTCTCTTTAATTCACTCATTATAAGCTGACACCATCAAAGCTCAAACAAACACTTACAGACAGTGTGCACATGTACTAAACAAATTTTTTCTTGAAGAGGTAATGCGTAGCTGAATGGATCTTGTACTCACTCTTTCTGGCACCCTATGTACTGGTCGTTGGTGGGTCGTGCGCAGTAGGCATAGTACAATCCCTTTTGGTTCTGGCTGTAACACCAATCACTTCCCACCACAGCACCTGAGGCGCAGTAAAAGATCTTTCGTAAATAACTCAAAAGTTCACATTTGCACTAAAAACCACAATAGTCAGTTGCCGTGAGATTACGGAACGTCCACTTACCTGCACCCCACATTTTGATGCACTGGTCTTCCTTCTGTGGGCACTGGCCGTTGTAGCAGTAGCCTTTTCCATTTTTGCAGGGCAGCCCGTTCAAGACAAAGACATCCTCAGGGCAAACGTTTGAGTCTCCAGTGCAGTACTCTGGAAGATCACACTCATCATGCTTGGGGCGGCACATATGGGAAGCATCGGTGATCTGTATGCCGTGGGCCAGGAGAAGGTAAGAGATGGACTTTAGTATTAGTGATGTGATTCAGATTTGTGTTCATTTAAGCTGCTTCTGAATCACTTTTATTTCTTGGGATCTTAATTGAGACTACGCAGAGACTGATCTTAGACCATTTCTGCTGTTTTGTTATTTATTTCAGGAAGTATTAAGGCTAAGTAGTATGACAAAAGTCTTACCACATTATATGTTTCTGCATGATTTGCATTTCTTAATGCTGAATTGAAAGTCTAAATAGTATTTTGAACCCTAAAGGTAGCAAAAGAATTTTTCCTATTTATCCAGTTTTCTCCCTCTTGTCCAATTCAATTCACTTGGTCTTCCCCTATCACACAACCAGCTAGCCAGGTCTCCCCTTAGGACCAATCATAGGACCAAGATGGGAAGGTGGAGGCTAGCATGTGCTCCCTCTGGCACATGTGAAGCTCCACTACATCTTTTGACCCTACTGCTAATGCAACACCATTGGACAGCTCAGCACGCTTGGAGAAGAACACCAACTGACAATTCTTTTATATCAACTAATAGATGCACTAAGTAATGGGGAAGAAGGAGGGCCATCCTTCCCTGAGAGACAAACACCAGTCATTCTTTCTTGGACGTCCAGTCATGGATAGCTGTAGCATCGCTTGGGATCGAACTTGTGATCTTCCAGTTCAGTCTTTTGCTACTAATACCAGGTCAAGGAATCATTTTTATCAAAAATGCAACCTCACAATGTTGACCTATTACTTTTAGGACTTCTAAATGTCCAGACTTTTCATTTGAGTTTTCACTGGCTCTTACCTTGCAGTCTCGACAGCACTCTCCATCAGCACACACGGAGCCCGCTGTCATCCTGCAGGTGGTAGCGTTGCAGCATGGGTTAGTGCACTCCTGTCCAAACACACAATAGCAAAAATCAGGCATGGTTTTTTGGAAGACGCGAGATAACATGCAGTTTCAATTCAGTTGTATTTATATTAGTTCATTTTATAAACAACATTTCTCCAGAAATGTGGGTGCAGCTCCCAGTGAGCACCACCAAAGGCAAAGATGCAAAAGAGGAACCTGTCCTCTACAGGGCCACATCAGATTGCATTAATAGGATTTGAATGCTTCGGATAAAAGACTTAGTAGGCTAGCTGGGTTAGCTCTACCACCATGTTGGCTAGGTAGCTTAAGTTAGTTTGTGTCTACTGTCTTTGGGGGCATTTTTTCCAAGAAGATTGTTTTGACTAATTGAGTGTGGAGAATTAGACATTCAAGGCTTTGTAGGCTAGCTATGTTAGCTCTGCCCCATTAATGTTAGCTAGGTAGCTTCGTTAGTTGCCTTGTTTTAGCTTTCTTCGGGGGCATTTTTTCAAGAAGATGGATTTGACTAATTTAATGTGGAGAAAATGTGAGTGACACTCAAGGCTTTCTAGGCTAGCTAGATTAGCTCTACCACCATTAATGTTAGCTAGGTAGCATAGTTGCCTTGTTTCTGCTTTCTTTGAGTGCATTTTTTCAAGAAGATGGATTTGACTATTGAAACGAGGAGAAAATGTGAGTGACACTTAAGGCTTCGTAGGCTAGCTAGGTTAGCTTCACCACCATTCACCATTAATGTTAGCTACCTTGTTTCTGCTTTCTTTGGGGGCATTTTTTTTACAAGAAGATGGTTTTGTCTAATTGAGTGTAGAAAAAAATATAAGTGACACTCAAGGGAGACCAAAGCTTTCAAGAAAGTGGGCACAATAAGCTACATGTTTCAATGGTCTCGTAGATGTGAAGTGTCTAACCAGAAGTCATTTTGCGTCCTGTGTGTTAAATTATAATTTTGGAATTATATATATTTTTTAATTTTGACAAGTCTATAAAGGTTCTACTAAATTCTGTGGCATTTACATTTGTAGACAACACCAGTGCAGCTATATCGCATGCACAGTATGTATGTGTGGGGTCTCGAAGAAAGAAGAATGCACTGGCTAGAGCAGAGACTAAACATTTCCAAGATGAGTTTGAGCAGGTTGGGATAGATTGTTGCCACCCATTTCAGCATCACATTCTTTAACCCCCAACATCTGTGAATTCCACCAGTGAGTCAATGTGATGATAATGCCTTTCGCATAGTCACATCTATAATTTAGCATCTCCACATCATTTCTGCTGTATTAGACACTATGGAGTATACATTATACACTCCACTGATAAGAAAACCATGCTGACTTACCTGTTCTCTGAGTTATTCAGTGCTTGTATGTATTCTGTGGGTATGCTGTTGGTATATGTCTGGTCTTGTGGAGGTATTTTGGGTCTTGTCGAGGTATTTTCCTAGGATGAAAGGAGTTTTTTCCCTGCCCTTGGGGAGTCAAGTGTAAGTTGAAACTGTTCTTCATGTTACAGGCGCGACTAGACGTAAATGTCTGGCTTGCTCTTCTGTATCTGTGGTTGCTTATTCGAAGGGTTTTTTCAGGTTCCACCATGTGGAATGAGGCAAATGGTAACGTGGTGACGCTTTATTTGAAGGGTACCTACATAGAGACTTCATGACGTATAAAAGTAGTGAATATCTCTTTTAAAAACAGAGCTTTAGTATGTATGAGCAGCATGTTATTATTCTCAGGATGCCATAAAATATGAAGTAAATAACACTGTATTGACATAAATGCCCTTAAACGGAAGTAATGGACATTTGTTCCATTTATAACACTATTATGAAGAACTTATAGGGCAGAGGCCTGGTTAAGAATGCCATATACTGTATCAAACCAAAATAAATATATATATATGAAAAATAACACTTCAGTGTGAGGGCATCAGAATCTTTATAGTACTGATATGTAATGTGATGTACTTCATATATAATCATTATAAATGCAATATAATTTCTCAAGTGTTCCTTTTAAAATGTTAGTCAATGCCTATGCATGTGTTGTGAAGTTCTTATGTAGGTAGCCTTCAAACAAAGTGTTACCAAAAGTACTGAGGTACCGAATTCAGTACTCATAATATCAAGTTAGTAGAAGGTGTTCTAAATGCTCTATACGCCTTTTTGTAATCACAAATCTGGCTGTTGAATTGTTTTCTTTTTCTTAGGAATGCTTTCCCAAGAAATTGCCCTGAGCTACAGCGGTCAGTGTGGGTCATGGAATGATCCTGGGCGCCTGTTCTGACTGTTTCACAGCTTCGAAATTCCAGGTGAACGACCAACTTATTACAAATGCAGTCTGGTTAAATAGGAGACTCTAAACATGGCCTGAATTACCGTCACAGATCCGCAGTCGCACTCCTCTCCGGTCTCGAGGAAGCCGTTTCCGCAGAACGCTGGCTGGAGGAGCTCTTTTCGCTGGGGTTTATTGAGCAGGCACTCGGGGTTGCGGGAGTTTAGGTACTGCTCCAGGCTGTTAACACTGCAGCTGCTGAATTGCCGGGGGATGTTGTAGCTGTAATGACAGTGGAACCATCGAGTTACAAAAGGCTGTGAAAAGGGTAAGACCCTGTTTTTCTATCTTGGTCCTTGAAGGCCAGAAATCCCCTTTTTGCTGGACCTCTAGAGGCCACCTCGCAAATTGACTGGAAAAGTGGAAATAGTGAATGTTATGTCATTAATGTTAACCGGGTAAGTTGGTTAATCAAATAGCCGTTCACTTGCAGTATCTGCTAAACACAGTTAAAATTGCGCTTAACCCTCTATTGCATGGTGTTGCCATATGGTAACAATTACTTTATCTCAATTTTACTAAAAGGCAGTAATATAAAATCTTTGTTTTACTATTTAATTGTGGAAAAGGGGTCTTTTACTTTAAAAGGACAAATGCTTTATGACATCACATGACCAGGAAAGCTTATAATGATGTTATTATTACCATACATTCCAAACACCGATTGAAATTGTATCAATTTCCAATATTCGTACACACATTTCACTAAGTATAAGTTCCTCACTTAAAAAAAAAAAAAAATTTTTTTTACAAATATTTTCATTATTTTTGCAATTTTAAATAACAAAACACATTAAAATATTGTAATCATGTTTAAGTAATAATTCATGCAGTAGAGGGTTAAATTGTTTATGCACTTGTAAAATGTGCTGTAAGAATATTCTAACTTTTATAAATAATGGATTCACATTGAGGATAAATGAAGTAACATAGCCACCTGTTTTACAATTGAAGTAGCATTATTTACTGATGTTTTGACATTTCCAGAGTAGATACTCTAAAGGCTTGTTGCGAAGCTTCATTTGAATGTTTGATTTTAGGTCAAGGTGTAAGGCGTTCACATTGTAGGCTTAGATGAGTCATGCCAAAGAATGTTTTGCTTGAAACAGCTTGTACCCAGCACACTCCTTCATAAAGCTCAGATGTAAGCAGCCGTTCTCTGCCTATTAGTGTTTTTTGTTGTTTTCAGTGTTTTTATTACTGAATTAGGAGCATTATTTTGGGTTGGTACTGTAGAGTGGATCTCCACCTTTGTACTAGACCATGCACCAGACCATCACACCTTTATGAGCTTGCTGGACATCCCATTCCAAAACCATGGGAATTATTATCGAGTAGCCACCCTTTGCAGCTGTAACAGCCTCTACTCTTCTGTGCAGGCTTTCCACAAGGTCTTGGAGTGTGTCTGTTAGAATTTGCGCCCATTCAGTCAAAAGAGCCTTTGTGATGTCAGGCACTGATCTTCTAGGAGAAGGCCTGGGTCGCAATCGACATTCCAGTTTATCCTAGAGGTGTTCAGTGCAGTTGAGGTCAGAGCTCTGTGCAGGCCAATGGAGTTCCACGACACCAAACTCATCAAACCATATCTAATGGAGCCCGTTTTGTGCAAAGGGGTTCAGTCATGCTGGAACAGGAAAGGGTCTTCCCCAAACTGCTGCCACAAAGTTGGAAGTCTATTCGTCTATTATCTAGAATGTCTTTGTGTGCTGTAGCATTGACATCACCGTTCACTGGAACTAAGGGGCCCAAACCCTGAAAATCAGCCCCAGACATTGCTACATTTAGCAATGTATAAACACTAGAACACAATAATTAAAGGGGTGTCCACATACTTTTGGCCATATATTGTACCATATTTGAAGGTAAATAAAACCCATTCAGTGCAAGTTCAGTTTTGATTGCCATGTATTTTCTCAAAATTATCACTAGTGACTGAAGTCATTTCTCGGACCGTTGGGATCGAGTAAGTAATGGCCGGTAGCATTTTACCTGAGAGCAGCAGCCATGATACAGGTGGAGTCGGTGCAGACACAAGAGCTGGTGTCGTGGTTCATGCCCAGGTTGTGGCCCATCTCGTGGGACAGGGTCGCCCCCACTGCTATAGCAAGTGGGTTATGGTCCTGAAAGGTGAAAGGAAGTGTTGGCTTACATTTGTAAATAATTACAACAGAATTGAAAAGAATAAAATGTAAAATTAACTACATTTATTCAAGAGAGTAGAATGATGTGTATGTATGTTCCTATAGCACTGCCTGCTTCAGCTATAATGTTGCAGTATATGAGGTGGCTTCTACTGCACCAGCTAAGGTATGTTTTGTGTTTTTTTGTGCTATATTTACTGTATCAGTGAAAAACAGCAAAAGCGTAATTAAATGTTAACGTTTTTAATATGGATTAACTTTAATACCTGTAACAATGTGATTTTTTTTCAGTATTTTTTTAAATGGAGCATTAATAGTTGCAACATTAGTTTATGTCAGTATGCACTTTAAAATTCAAGTATTTCTTAAGTTATTTAACTAAACCCGCTTTAGTATAAAATCTGTTGTGTGGACAATTATTGGTTATAATTATTATTATTATCACTATTATTTTCTATTGTTATTGTTGTTACTGGTCATGGGGTTGCTGGGGAAAGTGACCTAATAATTTTCCTTCTCATTCACGCCTTAACAAAGACACACTGGCACAGCCCTTGATGTGCTTGTTCCAGGCTGCTCTTTGTATGAGAACATCTGTTTTTGTGCTTCCGCTTCTCTTGCAAAATCAGACCACAAAGTCCGAGTACACTCGGGCTTCGCTATCTGAGTTTCCCTATCTGTCTTTGTAAAGACAGTGATGGCCAGACTGAGCTACTGTACCTGGATGACCCCGGTAGAGTGGCCTGAACACAGCGTGCCGATGAAAGCCAGCCCCACCGTCGCACCTTCAAAATCAATGCCACTGAAACGGCAACAGAAATAACATTGTTCACCTTCTAAACCCAAAATGATCAGCACAGTTCTACAAATAATACACAATTGGCCACTTTATTGGAAACCCTTATATCTCCACCTTGCTGGTAGCTCATCTGTTGATGCCAAGTTTGTGTTAGCCATCTCCTAGCCCTTCATCAAAGGTCTTTTTCTGTTCAACGGTGTACTGTGGTCAGTCACTGACCAATGGTGAATAGAGTAAGCAAACTGTGCAGCGACAGATGAGCTACAAGCATGAGGTACGAGGTAGGTGTTTCTATTAAAGTGGCCTGTGAGAAGAAGCACAAGATAGGTGCACTTTGTAGTTCTATACTTACAGACTGTAGTCCATCTGTTTCTCTGCATACTTTGTTACCCTGTTCTTCAGTGGTCAGGACCCCCACAGGACCACCACAGAGCAGGTATTATTTGGGTGGTGGATCATTCTCAGTGCTGCAGTAAAGCTGACGTGGTGGTGGTGTGTTAGTGTGTGTTGTGCTGGTCTGAGTGGATCAGACACAGCAGTGCTGCTGGAGTTTTTAAACACCTCAGTGTCACTGCTGGACTGAGAATAGTCCACCAACCAAAAATATCCAGCCAACAGCGTCCTGTGGGCAGCGTCCTGTGACCAGCGTCCTGTGACCACTGATGAAGGACTAGAAGATGACCAACACAAACTGTGCAGCAGCAGATGAGCTATCGTGTCTGACTTTACATCTACAAGGTGGACCAACAAGGTAGGAGTGTCTAATAGAGTGGACAGTGAGTGGACACAGTGTTTAAGAACTCCAGCAGCACTGCTGTGTCTGATCCACTCAGACCAGCACAACACACACTAACACACCACCACCACGTCAGTGTCACTGCTGAGAATGATCCACCACCCAAATAATACCTGCTCTGTGAGGGTCCATGGGGGTCCTGACCACTGAAGAACAGGGTAAAAGCTGGCTAACAAAGTATGCAGAGAAACAGATGGACTACAGTCTGTAGTTGTAGAACTACAAAGTGCTCTTATGTGGTCAGTGGAGCTGATAAAATGGACAATGAGTGTAGAAACAAGGAGGTGGTTTTAATAAAGCAGCCAGTCGCTGTATAAATGCTATAAAGTGAACATCGAGACATTTATTTCACAGTATCAACTGACGTGATTAGATGAGCGTTGTCATGGCGCTGTCTCTTAATCAGGACGTCGTTCCTCCAGGATGTAAATTTGTCCAGGGTCTCACCAGCGGGGGCCGTCACTACAATCTTATCAGAGTCCGTCCATATTTCCAGGCCAATTAGAGCGATGAAGGTGTTCACTGGTTTATACACCTGCCAAAAAAACAAGCCTTTAGCATTACAACAACAAGAGTGCAATAAATCATAACAGTATATTCAAGTCCAAGCTTGCTTGCTTTACAGTTGAACATGCAACTCAATCTCAGTCTTCAGTTCTATACGCAAAAAAAACCACAGGCACGAGTTCCGCTTTTTTGCCTGACTTGATTGGGCAGCTGCACCGGATCAATGCACATCTTCAGTGACAGTTTAGCAAACTGGATGGGCAAGTAGAGCAACATTGCTTTTATTTTATTCAATACACAGTACTATGCAAATGAAAGATGAAAGCTTGAAGTGCTGTTTATCTAATGGGGACAGTTTTGGTGTCTACCAGGACTTCCAGGTGGTTGTTAGGAGTCGCATTTTCTCAGTAGCTTTCTTTTTTTTAAACTTTCCACTTATTTTTCTGTGACTTTCTCCTTCCTTGTGCAAGCGAATTGTCTTACATCTAATCTCCTCAGAAGTATCTGGACACTTTTTATCATTTTGGAAATCAAATAAATGAAAGGTGGTCTCTGACTTTTGCACAGCACAGTAATGCTGAAGTAAGTCAAGAGTCAAGTGGTCCTAATTGTCACTCCGTGATATCACTTGTTTACACTGGAACGAAATGTCATTCCTCAGGCCCCATAACAGCTCTGGTGTTTTATGTCTGGGTCCTGTCATCGCTTGTTACAGCATGAATTGGTGGGAATGGGGCTTGAATGCAATGCAATGTTTCTCGATCAGGATTAGTGCCTATTAAGTTTGGTTACTGCAATGGTAGGTTTTGAATAGCAGCCCAAAGAACAATACACACATTTCCCTTTCGCCATCTTAGGCAACTGTGGTTGGATTGGGGCTTGGAGATTATCACACTGGATTATCCCACTGATACTAACAATCTGAAGCTTAATGGTGTGTATTGTCTCACTGAATCAGGCCCTAAGTGTTGATCAGATACTTTGCAATTGCAATTTAACGGCACACTAACCAGAACTCAATTGCTTCATTTTGCAACCAGCTTGGCTCACCGCATGATTTCAAAATAACTGTGATTGTGGCAACATGTAGGGCATGCTGTTTTTGCTTTGACGCTAGTCAGTATCATTGTTAGGTTAAGATATCCCAAATATATATATGGTTGATCTTATAGCACTATTGCTAGTGGTCTGTGTATATTGTCTTGTCAGTTTGCTTGACTTCCATTATCTTGTTTTTGGAAATTTCATACGCAGCAGCAAGAAAAATGATGTGAATTCTTTGGAATTACCTAGTTTTCTGCACCATACTCCACCACTGGGATGATGTGTCCCTGTTGGTACACAGTGCCCATTTTACGCCATACATAGTGCTGCATGTTGTTCCTGAACAATTCAACCCTAATCTCACCAGTCCACCAAACCTTTTCCCAGCAGTGTTTTGGATTATCAAGGTGCTCTTTGGCAAACTTCAGGCATGCAGCGAGTTTTTTTAGAGAACAGCTGCTTCCTCTGTGGTTTCCTGCCATGGACACCATGCATGTTCATTGTTTTTTGTATGGTACACTCATGAACAGAGACAATAACCAGCTCTTATGATTCCTTAAAGCTGTTATATGTTACTCTGGAGTTCTTTTTTACTTTGTCAGGCATTCTGCGTTGTGCCTTTGGAGTGATCCTGGCTGTGTACTCTTTTCGAGGGGAGTAGACACAGTACTAAATCGCCTCCATTTATAGACTTTTATAGTTTCTAACTATAGACCGATCAACACCTCAACTCTTTGAGCTCACTTTGTAACCCTTTCTAATTTCATGCAAATTAGTAATTATTGATCATAGGTCTTCTGGTGCTTCTTGTGAATAGCAAACTCAAAATGTTGGAGTGGTTCAAGTCAAAGTAGCTCTAACTCCAGGTTTTCTAACTCCTGACTCCAATTAGCTTTTGTTGTCATTAGTCTGAGGCTTCACATACTTTTTCCAAACCAACACTGTGAATGTTTGATGGTTCCGTGCTGTAAAGCTTTTTGATTTACTTGATGCGAATAATGGCCCACATTTATCAAACTTCTCACAGTAAGAATTCTGATTTGGGGTCAGCTTACAGCTTTTACATAACACGTATATAAATTACATTTCAGATCAGTGTTCTTACATTCAAATTCTTGATAAATATGGGTCAACATGCGCTGTCCAGCTGGTTTATCATGTGTTTTCATCGTGCGCACCTCATGCACCTGCCTTGTGAGTCACGCTTACAGTTTAGCAAACTGACATTTCTCCACAAGGAAGGGAAATTAGCGCTAAAGTAGCTATAGTGTGCGTCACTAGAATGGAGGAACTTGCATAAATAACAGTTACGAAAATAATTACGGTTATAATATGAGGAACATTTGTTTCATTAGTTAGCTTGTGGATGACCAGCAGCAGAGTCCGGTATGAAAGACATATGGATCCCTTCCATTGTTTCTCTTGGTTTCTTAGTTGTAAAAGTGTGTTGAAACTACCTCCGTCAAGTGGAGGCCATACCTTGGCCTGGCTTGCTCTCACTGTGAGTTGTTTATGTGCTTCAAAACAATGCAACTAAAAGCTGTGTTACATTTCACCCCACATTCAGTTGTGTTGTCTTCCTAAACAGGGCTCACTATATAGCTCACTCTGGGATTGTGCAAGTTTTCTTCAAAGGTTACCACTGTCCAGTTCCTGACGAAGCAGGCCTACGTTCTTTCACACATGATGTAGCCATCTATTTTGGTCACTAGATATAAATGATGACTTACAGCATTGACGAAGTTGATGATTTCATATACCCTCTGTCTCACTTTGTTCATGTCGCTGTCCGCCTTCTGATACTGTGGGCGTACAAATCAAATGCAGAGTCAGCTGTAGGCAAATTTAGGTGAACACAACAATCATACAGGAATATGCTTGTCTAAGCACATTTATGAGCAAGTTCCTTTTTCTGGAATAGCTTGTGATCATGCCATAAAAATTTGTTTCAGGTTCATGTAAGGACAGGAAAATAGGGCTGACACAAACAATTCCAAGTACAGTCTCAATTGTGGTTTGAACATTTACAAAAAGCCTCAAGGCCAGTATTTTGCATACAAATGAAAATTAGTACTGGGCTAAAAAAGGATTTTGAAGGAGGAAGTGTAACTTGATTTCTTGTTAGGCTTAAACTATGTGCAGAAAGCAGGCATCATGTTTCTGCCAGTCACATACCATTCTGTTGTCTGCCACCACGAAGAGTTCATTGTATTTTTGCTGCTGGAACATTGTTGGCCCCTACCCAAGAGAAAAACAAGGAAGTAGTATTCGGCTTTTTGGAAATACTTGTTATAGTTCAACAGTAAAACATCAGTTATTAGGTCAAGTCGTGCCCCCAGATTTCTAGATGCAGATTAAGCCTAACATGGACATTGATTAAGACAAGTCATGGACCAACATTAAAAATGTCGTCCATGTAAATGAACAAAAGAACTAAACAAAATGAAACTTGCACTTAACACACTTAAAAAGAACCTGGTGTACATCTTTTTCACTTAGCCCTGACAGGTTCCTGACAAGGTGATTTGGACCAGTCATAGTTCTCAGGTCTCCGAACAAACCACACCAGTTACTGGGGTCAGTCATAGTCAGGGGAGGTCTCAGAACAAAACACACCAGTTATTGGGGTCAATCATAGTCAGAGGGAGGTCTCAAAACAAACCACACCAGTTATTGTGGTCAGTCATAGTCAGGGAAAGGCCTCAGAACAAACCACACCAGTTATTTTGGTCTGTCACAGTCAGAGGGAGGTCTCAGAGCAAACCACACCAGTTAGTGAGGTCAGTCATAGTCAGGGGAAGGTTTCAGAACAAACCACACCAGTTATTGGGGTCAATCATGGTCAGGGGAAGGTTTCAGAACAAACCACACCAGTTATTGGGGTCAATTATGGTCACAGGGAGGTTTCGGAACAAACCACACTAGTTATTGGGGTCAATCACAGTCAAGGGGAGGGTCTCAGAACAAACAGAGTGGTGATTAGGACCAATCACAGTCAAGGGGAGGGTCTCAGAACCAATGAAGCGGTTTTGACCATTTTTTTACTGCCTGCTTTAGTCCAGGTTTAGGCTTTATTTGGCTCTGGGAAAATGATCCTTAATGTTACTTTTTGCAGTTATGCCCAAGATTAGTCTTAGTCCATGCCAGAGAAACTTGGCCCTGGTGTTTTTACTATCCTGCCTGCTACTCTTGAGGTTGCCATGATGGAATATGCCTTCAACTGTTGACCAGTCTTTTTTAAGATACTTAGAAATCCAGGCCTTGTTTTGGTCAAAGTTAAAAATAACATGTCAAATTGAGGAACTTCAGAATTATAAATGTCACTCTTACAGACAAGCGAGCTCGAGATTTACTGATGCGAGGGGGAAAGTCGCCAGTGTTTTCATCCCAGCTGGTGTTGGTGACTCCACACACTGACGGGGTGTTGGTCACGTCCTCGTACTTCAGCACAGCGTGGTCACCATCTCCATCTTTGGACAGTGGCTCAATGAGAAACCTCTGCTCTGCTGTCTGGAAATAACCTCTGCAATGCAACATTCTGGAAATTAGTACAGTCTCAGAGAAGTGAGGCATATGTGTGAAGTCCAGGGATTTGGAAGTGCATACTCTACTGACAGCAGTCTTAAAAAACACAGGTTTCCTAAATGGTTCTTGGCTTGAATGTACAGTTCTAGTAGCTCCAAGGAAGGAGTATTTTCCAAATATCTGCATAATTAAGAAGTTAAGATGTAAACAAGGTCATTCAGAGTGGTTTGGTGTAAAATGCTCCATCCTAGAGAAACTGTCAGAGTTGTTTACAATGGTGGTGATAGGAACCAGACGTCTGAAGAGTTTAATCCCTCTAAAGGTTCCCTCACAGAAATGTAATAAATTGGTTACAAACATGCTGCCTGATGCCTGAGACATTGTTTTGTGATATGACATGTGTAGGTTCACTGGTTTGGATAGTAAATAAAATGACTATTTTTGTGTCGTAGACATGGTGGTTCCTATCACCACCACTGTAAAAAAGTCAATACGTTTAGCTACAATAAACCATTTCACATTAAAGCCCTCTGAATGAATGTTAACATTTGAAAAATCTCTACATTATGTGGAAGTTGTTTAAAATATAGTTCTTCAAAGATGTGAAGGTCCTATAGGGAAGTGGTTGTCTTCGATACTGCCCCAGTGAACTCTCTAAATGTGTCCCACTAACCAAATATGACAGTATGTTCGCTGTAATTGTTAAACAATGTGAACATCAAGAAGTTATCAAGAGTGCTTTATTTGTTACTTCAGAACTCGGATACATGTGAGTGACAAAGCCTTTTTTCTAGAAACTCATTGAGATTTTTCTAATACCAAATAAAACTTTTCAAAAAGCATTTTTCCCAGAACATAGATTGCAAAAATAAAGAGTGAAAGTCAGCTGACATACCGTAACCCTTCACAAGTGCTCACGCTGACCATTGAGCCGCTGTCATTCACGATCTTCCCCTGATAGTAGCAGAGATCCTGGGAATTGGGAGGGTACAGAAGGACAAAGAATTAGTCTTAGTGTGCAGTATTTGGATATATGTTTGGTCTTAAACGCTTAAGCCAGTTTCACACCAGAAACAACGCGGTGCACATGGTGTGCCGTAACCCCTCTGGGGTTCACATCAGATGCGATAAACACCCATCACAAGAGCTGGATATGTTTGCATCACATTTTTATGTTTTAAGCAAATGTCTTTGTTTATTGCTTAAAAAACTTTTGAGCATAGATGTTTAAAACCCCTTACAGGGCCAGGACCCACCGGTGGGCCCAAGGTTTCAATACACTTCCATAACCTAAGAATAGCTCAACCAGTTTGCATTGAAGTCCCTGTAGTTACTGAATAATAAGCCTTAGTATGTAACAAGCCTGAGATTTTAAGGGGTTAAAGATTGATGGAAAGTTGTTGCTCTTTATCTCTTGCTGAGGAGAGGAGGGGGAGATGCATGTGGGTTCACCACATTAACTTACTGGACTTAAAACTAGATTTGTTGATTTGTTTATTAGCCTAGATTGTAAATTACAGCAAGAACATGGCATGATGTACTAATCTAGAAACTGCTAGCATGCTGCACACATAAAAAAACAGACCCAAAACATATTTTTGCGGCATAGTGAGGAGTGTATTATGCACAGCGTGCTGCGGCATGTCATGCGATGTGCTTACCACATCTGGTGTAAAATGGTCTTCAGACATGGTTCTCACAACTCTTTCAAGTGATATTGTATCAGGCAAATGTTGTAAGACTGACTTGGGATAACTGGTGTGGTATTATTATGGTGAAATGTGAAATATCCACCTGAAAGGAGTTGAAGAGCAGTATAGGGGTTCACCTACCAATTCGTTAGGTTTGGTTGTGACCTGTGTCCCGTCGTCCGTGTAATGCGTCTCAGTGTAGTCCTGGGTTAATAAATCTCTGTGGACCCCAACACAGATATAAGATGAGCCTAAGCAGACCATTTGGGATAGTATGAAGCTGGAAACATTCATTCGCAAGCTTGCTCATTCATTTGAAGGTAGCCTTGAGCACAGAGGTGAGTAGTGACGCGTTACATTTACTCAGTTTCATTTACTTCAGTAATCTTTTGAATAAATTGAGTAGAGGTCATTTTAATAGAAGTCACTTTACACACTTACTTGAATACATTTGCAAGGAGAAACATTTACGATTGTCTGCATTCTTTCTGTTACATTATTACATTTTAATTCAATTCTCAGTTAGGGCAGTTTGTACTCCTGGAGATTCTTCACCCTGATTGGTGCCTTTGTTGGCCATTACTCACATCCCCACACCTCTGTCAAATCATAGTGACATCACATTTAACCTTACACCAAGTCAAATACCACCAGCCACATACATACACTGAACTAGCCGTTGGGGTGAACATGCATTCCACCACATATCAGGATGATATTGATTCCAATGGCTGAAACAGTGGACAGTTCTGTAAAGGGATATCATCCCCATCTCATTTGCAAGACATGTTTTTCATACAGGCTACCAAAACTCGTGGTCACATCAGGGTTCGAATTACGGGGAGCCATAATGTCAGCTCTCTGTAAGATCTATATAAGACAACAATGAGATCAGACGTTTGAAGGGTCTCGGATGCAGGAAATGAACCTCGTGTTTATGGTAATGTATTTCTGCTCTGCCTCTTATAAAACAAAAAGGCAAACATCGTTGAACGCATAATGAGATGCTTGCCATTGATCGTTTGTGGTCACCAGTGGCCCTTCTGGAGATCTACTTTCCTACAGACCAACATCCAACCTACATCTAACAGGCTACCACCCTCCTTGTCTACTATTAATGCATCTAAACCAGCCAATCACGAACTTAGCAGGAACAGGTATGGAAGATTGTAGGTGGAATTGATGTGGACACCACCGAAAGGTAGACCTCCACGACCAGGGTTGCTGACCGCTACTCTGTCCACATTAGTGTTTCACAACTCAGCCCACAAGTCTACCTTGTTCAGTTTGTTCAAGTTAGAACCAGCACACGCAGTGTTTCGTGCACTGGGGACTTTGGATGACGCTTAACAGAGATCTTGTGGTTGCAAAAGCAGGAACTACAGCAGACGCACATGCAAGCGCTGTCCAGAGACTCAAGACCACAGGACGTGTCAGTGTCCTATGAGCCAATATATTTGATGACACAGTGAAAATAGATGGTTGGGCTTACTCGTTTTTCTCAAGATGCATCTCGATGTGTTTGCCGCCAAGAGTCATGGCATATTTCACCATGTCTGGTCTGGAAGACTGAAGACAAGACTTGATTAAATTCAAATGTAATAGTCATCATCACTCTAAGGCATTCTTAGCTCATGCTGCCAAGGTAACAATGACATCATTCAGCAAATTGAGAAATTCTAACAATCTTTGTTTAGAACCGCTGCATAATGTTAGAGATTAAAATGCTATGTTATCAAACTGAACTATGTTTGGTATGGAAATACCAAAAAAATTCCAACATGCTAACACAAATCGGGGCTGTGGTGAACAACATATACACATGCAGCTGTTAGAACAATTATCTACTAACTTATCTACTACCCTCTAAAAATACTAAAGACATGATTTTTAGTCCCAGAGTTGCAATAATAGCTACTGTTACAACAAACGTGCATCACCATAAGGAACTTTTAAGGAGTTCTAAAACTTTTTTGTAGACCTATTTAGAAATAAAAAGTATATTTATACATGTTGTCGGCATATATGTTCAGAAAAAGACTGTCCATATCATGTAACCCTACTACACGACAAGAAAGCTCATTTCTCATAATGTTGAAAGGAATTTTTGCCGAAGTTCTGTAAAGCTTTGGGCCTAAGACATACTATTGCTACAAAAGAACACATTTCTGACGTGCATAGTATGGATATTTGAATTAAGGCAGAAAAACATACACTGTAAATGCAATGTCTTCTGTAGAAGTATTATATTGGTAATGATTGACCTTTAGTTTTCTAGAGCTCTCACCTCTAAATCTCTCTTATGAAGGTCATGCACTCTGACTGGTCGAACCACCTCATATATCTCGACTCCATGTAGTGTGTAGCTACCTGTGACAGAAAGTAGTGCAGAGAAGAAGTGTGTTAGTGTTAAGCATGGAAAAATCATACCACAAGTTCTGTCAATTTGATCTTCAGGATTGTCTTCCGTCACTGTTTGACTACTTCAAAGTAGCAGTTCATTTTTAGTGTGTGAAACTGCATGGCTCTTTCTGTTTGGTTTGATTTCCACAGTGATGCAGGTGTCTTGTGTCTTTGCTAACGCTTTAAGCAGTGTATGACAACAGAGCAAGCCCTTAGGCTTTGTTTATCCAACCATTGTTGGACTTGGGTGTGTCATTAATGTGCCATGTAAGAAGCACCTGTATAATTCATTGGTGCCAGAAGTGGTGTAACTGCAGCATGGACATGGTTTGTTCCTGTGACTTAACTTTGCACAGATGAATGAAACAGATAAAATTTGCAGAAAGCACAATGGAGTCTTGTGGATACAGATGACTGTTCTGTCAGATAAGCCACTGAAAAGCCAAATTACATATCGTTGCTGCCCAAACAAAAACAGTTATCTCCAAAATAGTAACGTTACAGGAGAAGGCAAAAACATTCTTACCTTTCAATGGAAGTTAATGTAAAGGGTTTTTATTCCAAGCAGTTTTAGAGCATTTTAATCAGTCCAATTATCATGGAACTGTCACACAGTGTAAAGGACAGCTGGTTTGTTGATATGATGTAGAAAAATAAAAATTGGAAAAAAAGGACATACATGGTTTTCTTTGGACAGCGACGATATATATATATATATATATATATATATATATCACTTTTTTCTGCAAATTTCATCCATTTATTATGTACCACAACTTCACTTTTCAGGACAATTTTTCACTTTTCCACTCTTTGAGGCTCTAATGAACTTAAGAGTCTTTGCTTTAGGGATGCTTGAGTCTCGCAAGCCAGTCTTCTGACTATCGTCAGATAGTCTGGTGTGTTTCTTTGCTTGGCATGGCCAGGAACCACCTCCATTTGCGGGAAAGGGCTACTTGATGATTCCCAAAGCAATCAGTCACAAACCGATTCATTTTACCTGACATACAGGGCCAGACAATTTTCAAAACAGAGCACATCCACAGGAATGTGTTATGATTGCGTAATCAATAATATGTGTCAAAATCTTGTTAATGCTTCAAATAAAACTCCTGAAGAACCTTCAAAAATGTGATGTCATAGGCAGCAACTACCGGGGGTCATTGGCCTCCCCAAAACCAAAGCTGAAGGGGCAACGCCCCACCAATCCTAGTACAAAAGTCAAGAAAAGGTAGTGAAACCATGTAGAGCAGTCTGAAAACAGCCTATAGTGAAATTGCATTTAACAGTTTGATAACCGCAGCGATTGTAAACCATGCAGGGATGCTACAGCAACCTGAAAAACTGCTGTTTTCTGCATGTGAGTATGTGTGAGTCATTGCCCAAGCATGATGTTGTGAACTTTTTTTAAACTCAGCCACTGTATCTTGCTCTAAAAGGCTAATTATTGTCACCCTAAAGAAAAGGCAACTGCTGGCTAGCGGTGCTAGCTGGCATTTAGCTTAATAAACAACAGTTTCTCATGTGTGGGGTGTGAATAGCGGGTTAATTTTATGCATGTAACCTAACAGTAGATGAAAGAAACTTTGGAAGTCCTGTGCAAACATTGATATAGCAGTGGTGTTCCTGACCGGATGGGGAATTGAACCCTGCTTTCCTGTGTGTGGGGCAATGGCATTAAGTTCCTCTTGACTGAGTTCAAAAGAAGGGAATTCCTTTCACTAATGGCTATGTGTGCAAATGTTGGACCGTAATGCCACCGTTGGGTTTCCTAGGGCCCCAGATGTTTCTGCTTTGAGGCACCGATATTAAGATAATTTGAGAAGAAAATGCTTCAGTTTTCGAGAAACTCTGATAGTTGGTAACAGAAGATTGACAAAACAAGATAACATTGAGGGCAATGACTCTAATGTAAAAATCACAGCCGGTGTTTTATACCACAATCCGTATTTATTAATCTAGAAGACCTGTAGAAAGATCTGTGCTTTTCGATTGAAAGAGTTCAGTGTGGCTCGTGGCCTCCACTTTAATTTCTGTAAAATGTGTTTCTGCTTCCTCTTGGTCTTGTGAAAGATTAAAGATGTCTGTTTGACTTTTTGTTTCTGCAGTCAAGAAAACATGCCCTGGTACGGCATTAGGTGGTTAATAATTACAAATGATTAACAGTAGCTGCTACTGTTATTGCTCTTTATCAGATGTGACATGAAAATGCCTCTGAATAGGCAAACAAGTTTCTACAGGATCTGTTTTTGTTTCTCAAATCTCAGGCTCTGTTGAATGTTGTCCTGTTTCCACACTTGAGATAATGCCAAGAAGAGCTCTTTGGCGAGACACTGTGGTTCCTGAAGGTGTCTTTTAGGCCTGGCCTGAATAATTTGAATACTTGAGTAATCATTTATGTTAGTATTCAGAAGGAAGCTAACGCTTTGGACCCCAACAGCATTCCAGACACACTCTTGTGGATGGTATGTGGTACCACTTTACCTGAACCTTGCTACGTAACATTGACGTAACCATGTCATAAACATAGCAGATGTCATATGATGTCATGACAGAATATGTCCAATGTAAATATGTAATGTAAAAATTATTATGTAAAATATAAATGTTATTGTTTTTAAGGGAATGCAAGTATTTGAGCCCTGTAAAGTGCTATTTTGGCCAACCCTAGTGTCTTTTAACGGATGGTTCAAGATGTGCAAGTGTGAGAAATTTTACTGTGAACGTTCTGCATCTATTAAAGGCTTTTCCTAGAACCGTTCCTTCAAGCCAAGAACGATTTAGGAACCTTCAAGCAAGCGGTCGCTAACTGAGACACTGTTCCAGAAAGGTGGAAGATGCAACTGGCCAATCAAACTTGGTTGACATATGAAATCATAGCAATTTCCCACCAAAGCCTGATTTGCTCCAAGCCTAGCGAAACAAAAGCAAATGTTTATGGAAACGATATGATATCTGACAAAGGTTAACAAAGGGAACAAACAAATGAGTTGAATGCACTTAATGTGAAACTTCCAAATGCTCACAAAAACAAAGATCTCTCTCAGGTAATCAAGCAAAGGGAAGGTTTTGATATTTGGTGCCTCAAACCCAGAAGGAGATTAGTTTGAATCCCACAAGTCCAAAGAAGGCTGATTAAACTGGATGGCTGTGGGTTCCAATTCCTGCCCATGTGGAGTTGTTAAGTGAACTCAAATATACTTGCTTACGTGGTTTATGACACTGTATGACATACTGTTATGCTTAAACATGGGCCAAAGTAGGAGGCATAACTAGAAACAGTGTTATGATGCATCATGAAACCTGAATGCAGTGCATTTTTACTAAGTGTGATGATTGAGGCACAATGCTAATTATGACCATAAGCTTTGTTTACTTCTTAGCTACATTAGCCTCGTACCTCCAGTGCAAAACAAAAGAAGCAAATTGCTAACTCCAAAAATGTCTTGACCGATTCACCAAATTTGGGTTACAGGGTGAAACTGTGAATTTGATTTTTCGTCAAACTTGCTGTTTGAAAGTGCCCAACCCTAAGCTGCAACTCGACCCCGCTGCCAAGAATGTGTGTTTCCAAGAACTGCTGCTGTGCCTCTATCTCTGTCAATCCTTTAAGGCCCACGCAGAATTGTTGCTGTTTCTCCCATTTCAACAGCTTTAATCAGGTGATTTCTCAACAAAGTCATTGCAGTTATTTGATTTGTGAAGAACTTGAGGTAACAAAGCCAAACATATGTACATTTTTATACAGTTTGTCTCACAAAGAACCATTTCAAACAAGAAAATTCATGAATAGAAATATACCCCTGTACGAAAAATGGCAATCCATGTTCTGTCAATTTTCTAAGTGAAAATAAGGTTTTCTGCACATTTTAGTGCACCACTACATTTTGCTGGCTGAGTTTGGCATAATAAAAAAGGCATACATTACAAAATGTGCTATAACTTTTGCAACTTACACATTTTAGGATTCATTTTTAGGTTTCATTTTTATTTCCGCAAATAAACTTGTATAAATTTGTGCATTAAAATGTGCAGAAATGTATAGAGAACGTGTACGACACAAAACGTAATTTGACCGTGCCAAAACTTTTGCACACAGTTTAATATAAAACATAGGTCATCTTTTGTCATTAGTGTGATGAAATATATCGATAATGAGTGCTCACTGATGGGAATTGCGCTCTGAACGGGCTCACGTTCATCAACAAAAGAAGCCTCACGCATCTTATTAACACGGGTAAAAGTAACCAACAGAAAGCTCCGGCTTTACGAGCTGATACATTTTGCAAGCAGGTGGCCGAGGTAAATCATGATAAGCGTTAGACTTGTCAGATTGGTCAGATTGGAGTAAACAAAAGTTGAAAACACAGTGAAGTAAGCAGTTCCTTTAAGAATGTGCAGCTTCATTGCTGAATCATTGCAGTGTGACTGCAGGTTTAGAGACTCTCTATTTTGGACATCTTTGTAATGTTTGTGCTAAAAGTTTGCAGTTAAGCTTGTTTTCAGTCACTTTGTACAGAAAGTTTCAGAAACACTCCATTCTAGAGAAATTTAGAGTCAGAATTGTTCACAGTGGTGGTGATAGGAACCAGACGTCCACCTCAAAAAGCTCCTTCACATAAAGTTATTGCATGAAATAAACCGCCTGATGTCTGAGACACCGTTTTTGGATAGTTTTTAAGGTTTTGGCTTAAGACATTTCTATAAAACATGTTTGTGGTGGAAGAATACATGCAGGGCGTCATCAACATTCCATATATAAACTCAGAAGACAAGTGTAGGTTCACTGGCGGTTTTGGATAATAAATAAAATGTATAGTTGTGTTGTAGACATGGTGACCCCTGTTTCCCATCAACACCTCTGTAAAGAAATCTGAGTCTCTACGATCAACCATTTCACACCAAACCACTCTGAATAGGCAAACAAGTTTCTACAGGATTTGTTTTTGTTTCGCAAATCTCAGGCT